TTCCTGCTCCTCTGCTGCTTGGCCTGCTGTGTTCATCCAGCTCTACACCTTGTTATCTCAGATTCTCCAGCATCGGCAGTTCCCACTATCTCTCTCAATCTTTGAGAGGCTGGTCATCCAATAGATCATGCTGATCTTATCATCTCCACTACAGTATTTGTGTAGAGATGGGAAGTGTACTTGTCATCTGGTGTGAACTTTGAGTTTTATTAGAACATGGTAAATTGATGAAATATAATGTTGACATAAAAATTGTTTTTGATCAAGCATGTCTATAAATGTTCGTAATTGTATTTCAAAGTGCAGTGAAGAATTTTCTTATAGGCCATTTATAGGACATAAAACAAGTTCAGTGATTTAAATTTGAACACTGTTGCAGGTCACTTTGTTTATTTGTCTTTTCACTTTCTCCCTCTCCCTCTCTCTCTCTCGCTCTAATTTTCCTAATTTGTTAAAATATCTTAAGAAATAAACAAACCAGTAATCTTTCCTGTCTTCTGACTGTTGAAAATAAAAGCACATGATCGTTGTCAATTAAGGGTAACCTGAATCTGTCTCACAGATGATTACTGCTGCATGTATATATCTTCGAAGAGAACATTTCACTGTTCAATTCTTGACATGTAGTGTTTTAGTGTATCAGGTACCTGAGACTATAGCAGTACTGGAACTGTGTTTACTTTTGTTCATAACAGGATTTCTCTGTTGCACTATAAGGTTTAATTATTAAATCTCTTTTTTTCAATACAGATAAAAGCAAAAAACTATGATAAAGTTGAAAAGGTAAACCTGTTTCATTTTTAATCCCAGTACCCCTCTAGACATGGGAAAACCTTGTTATTGTTAGTCTCTCAGTGAACCTCATCTTGGTAACTTCACAGCTTTAATTATTTCACAAGTCTTGTTGAGCAGTACCCACACCTTAAAAGTTTTTAAAAATGTTTTGTGAACTAGTAATTTTTACACAGACTGGTTTCAGTATGGATTGGATTCGCATGTATTAGTAATTCAGCAACTATCTCAAAAACCGAGGTTAGACAGGAAACTTGTTAGCAATGGCTGAGCGTTGATGCAAGATACATGTTCTCCCACAGTCAAAGTGAGCACTAAACATTTGCAACAGTGAGCTCTTGTAAAGCATAATAACATTTGCATGTCAATGTGAGTTTGATTTCCCACAGATTATTTTGCCATGGCAAAGAGGAACAGTTTGGGTTTTGGCTTTTATTTTAAAGGAAGACTTGCTATTGTTATGTATCTTGGCAGGGTATCACATGAACTGACCATCATGGAAGGGAGTTGGTTGCAACTTAATCCATGAATGATGTTTCCTTCATGAGATTGGGTCTCAATCCAATACACATGGTAAAGCCTGAAGCTGGAGGCAAGGCACTGTGTCAGAGGGAGAGAGCAATAAACACGGCATCTTAATATGAATAATGGCATTTTAGAAACACCCATCAGTCGGTTGTCATTTCCCTCAATAAGAGAAATGTAGGGGTGACCAAATACAGGTCTTTTAACATTAAGAGGTTTAAGTAGGAGTAGACAGACTATGTCAGGAAGAGTAAAGGTAGAGGCCATCAATATCAGATAGGTGTCCAGAAATCCAATAGAAAATTCAGGAAGAATTTTTTTTAATCTGAAGATTGGGAACTCTATTATAGGAAGTGGTTGAAGTGTATAGTATAAGTACACTCAAAGGGAAAGCTAGTAAGCAGATTCATGAGAAGGAAGTAGTGGATTAATTTAGAGTAGAATAACTAGAATAAGTAGAATACTATAAGGAACTTTGGAGCAAAATAAGCACCTGAATGGGCTGTTGGGCTGAATCACCTTTTATTACGTTGTATGTGTTGTCTTTCAGTGAATCAAATGCACATCCCTCCACTCTTTGTTTCTTAATCCATTCTCTAATGAAATCAGGTTTCTGGCCAGAAGAATACAATTCCCAAATTTACTGTATATAAATATTGCTGCTTTGAACCAGAATGAAGAAAACTTGGCACCAGTTCCTCTTGGTCATGGAATAATTTGTGATCTAGGTGGGAAGAAGAATGTTTTTAAAACTTCTATTATTTAGATGACATATTTTGCTTTTATTTGTTTCCAGTTGTTTCAGCGATGTCTTATGAAAGTTTTGCATATTGATCTATGGAAATGCTATTTGGCCTATGTACGGGAAACTAAAGGCAAACTTCCAAGTTACAAGTAAGGAATGAATAGTTCAAAAACATTGATAAAATGATATTTTTTTCCACCTCAGCTTATTTTGTTACATTAGAATAAAGTACCAAAACTTCCAATACAGAAATATTCTATGTCATGTTATAATGGCTTAATTATTTGCATTTCAGAGAGAAGATGGCCCAAGCATACGATTTTGCTTTAGATAAAATCGGCATGGAGATTATGTCTTATCAAGTAATTGTTTTTATTTACTTTTTAAAATCTTTTTTTTCTATTAGATCATGAATTAAGAACTGCATTAATTTTATTAATTGTAAATCTTCTACAGATTTGGGTTGATTACATTAACTTCTTAAAAGGAGTGTAAGTATTGCTTTTTTTTATTCATTTGAGTTTTACTTTTAATCAAAAATCTGAAACTTAATTAGTTCTGCCATATTATAATCATCTTGCCCTTTTAATAGGGAAGCTGTGGGATCCTATGCAGAGAACCAAAGAATAACAGCAGTTCGACGTGTGTATCAGCGAGGCTGTGTCAATCCTATGATAAATATTGAACAGTTATGGCGAGATTATAATAAATATGAAGAGGTAAAAACTTGTGCCCCAATTAATACTCTAAAGTTCAAGTAGATTTCAGCTGACGGAAATTTGCAGTTACAATCCAGAGGAAAAAACTGGCTAAGATGGGGGTTTGTCTAAGAAAAGCCCCCTGATCATTTTCAGTAGTTTTGGTGTTAAATAGACAAAATACTTTTGTACTCCCATAAATGACGGCATTTTCTCAAGTGCAGTTTATGGCTCCTCAGTTGGGTTTTTATTTCTATGTTTTTGTATCTCCACTACCAACTTTTCTCTTCCAAAATTCACATTTCTTTTCACTAATATCTTTTCCACAAGCTGTGATAATAATGCTGTATTCATCCAACATGAGGTGGACTCTACGGTTGTGAAAAGAGTTATGGCCTGAACAGGGCATGCGTTGAATCTTAAAATAGCACAGCTAAGAAGGAGACCTCTCAGTTCATCATGTCAATGAAAACTCACAACGAGTAACACACTCCCACTCTATAACTTGCTTCTCCTATTTCTCCAAGTATTCATCAGATTTTCTTTTAAAAGCATCAATTAAATTTGTATCTACATCTTGTTATGCTATATATTCCAAATCCAAACCAGTCCTTGCATGAAAATGCTATTATTATTAATGTCAGCTGTCATCCTTTTGGCAGTCTCTCAAATCTGTGTCCATTTGTTTTTGCCCTTTTAGCCATTGAAAACAGTTTCTGTTTATTTATTCTTCTCTAACTGCTTCACGATTTTAAGTGTCCCCATCGAATCTCCTCTTAGATTTTTCAGTTCTAAAGGAAACAGGCTTGGTTTCTCCAGTTTAGCCACCCATTTAAGTATTAGTTGAACCCATCAATAAATCTGTATCCATTTCAAATTGATCAACAACTTTAAAACAGCAAATGTAGGATTTTCCTCTAAATGTGCAAACTCATTTTGCACACATTTTTCCAAATCTGCATTGTTTTGACTTTAGTTTCATAATACAACCAGTTATGTTTTCTTCATCAAGTTGTTAGAGTGCCTTAAATAGACATCACGTTTTGTTCAACTACTTACAAGCTCCTTCTGTCATTCAAAACCATGATTATAGTATCTGATAATGAGGCCTGTTTCAGCAAAATGTGCCGTACCATGCTGATAAAATGAAAGTTGGGACGTTTGCAAAGTCTATCTGACAACTGCTTCAGATTTCTTATGTCAAATGCTAATACAGTACTACAAAGATTTTCAGAAAAACAGGTTTCTAAAGTGACGTGTGAATTTTTTTACTCCAGTCATGTGACTGAAAACATTAAAGAGACTAACTGATGTTAAGAGGGCATGACATTCAAAATGAAAGAAGCATATTGAGCATTTTTCATTAATGAAGTCTGCCTTAATAATGGAGTCAGTGGATTTGCAGACTATGTTAATGGCTTAGTTTTGAAATTAGCAGCTTTTGCAGAACTAACCATTTTGTATGCCCTATGTGACATTGAAGTGCAATTTTTGGAATTTTTAGCAATGAAAATAAAGTTAATTGCAGCGTTGTGTTCTTTTCCTTCACAGAGCATCAATATTCACCTTGCTAAGAAAATGATTGAAGATCGGAGCAGAGATTACATGAATGCTCGGCGAGTGGCAAAGGTATTTCTGTTTTCCTTCACAATTATTGTATCAAAGTTATTGAAACTAGAAAGTTTTTAAAGGCAAAAGTCTAATTTATTTTGTTTTCTGTTTGTAAATTGAAGAAATGGATTCCTAAACTTCTGTGCTTTTCTTACAGGAATACGAGACTGTCATGAAAGGTCTAGATCGTAATGCACCATCAGTCCCACCACAGAACAGCCCACAGGAAGCACAACAGGTTGATATGTGGAAGAAATATATTCAGTGGGAAAAGAGTAACCCACTTCGCACAGAAGACCAAACACTAATCACTAAACGAGGTGGGACTACTTAACAGGACCAGAGATAGTAGGAACTGCAGATGCTGGAGAATCCGAGACAACAAGGTGTAGAGCTGGATGAACACAGCAGGCCAAGCAGCATCATAGGAGCAGAAAGGCTGACGTTTCGGGCCTAGACCCTTCATCAGAAATGGGGGAGGGGAAGGGGGTTCTGAAATAAATAGGGAGAGAGGGGGAGGCGGATAGAAGATGGATAGAGGAGAGGATAGGTGGAGAGGAAACAGACAGGTCGAAGAGGCGGGGATCGAGCCAGTAAAGGTGAGTGTAGGTGGGGAGTTAGGGAGGGGATAGGTCAGTCCAGGGAGGACGGACAGGTCAAGGGGATTGGATGAGGTTAGTAGGTAGGGGATGGGGGTGCGACTTGAGGTAGGAGGAGGGGATAGGTGGGAGGAAGAACAGGTTAGGGAGGCGGGACGAGCTGGACTGGTTTTGGGATGCGGTAGGGGGAGGGGAGATTTTGAAGCTTGTGAAATCCACATTGATACCATTGGGCTGCAGGGTTCCCAAGCGGAATATGAGTTGCTGTTCCTGCAACCTTCGGGTGGCATCGTTGTGGCACTACAGGAGGCCCAGGATGGACATGTCATCTGAGGAATGGGAGGGGGAGCTGAAATGACCACTTTGCAGAACACCTACGCCTGGTTCGCAATAAACAACTGCACCTCCCAGTCGCGAACCATTTCAACTCCCCCTCCCATTCCTCAGACGACATGTCCAGCCTGGGCCTCCTGCAATGCCACAACGATGCCACCCGAAGGTTGCAGGAACAGCAACTCATATTCCGCTTGGGAACCCTGCAGCCCAATGGTATCAATGTGGATTTCACAAGCTTCAAAATCTCCCCTCCCCCTACCGCATCCCAAAACCAGCCCAGCTCATCCCCGCCTCCCTAACCTGTTCTTCCTCCCACCTATCCCCTCCTCCTACCTCAAGCCGCACCCTCATCCCGCCCCCTTGACCTGTCCGTCCTCCTTGGACTGACCTATCCCCTCCCTAACTCCCCACCTACACTCACCTTTACTGGCTCCATCCCCGCCTCTTCGACCTGTCTGTTTCCTCTCCTCTATCCATCTTCTATCCACTTCACCCTCTCTCCCTATTTATTTCAGAACTCCCTTCCCCTCCCCCATTTCTGATGAAGGGTCTAGGCCCGAAACGTCAGCCTTTCTGCTCCTATGATGCTGCTTGGCCTGCTGTTAACAGGACCAGCGCTGTTTTGCATATAGGTATTCTGGTATACATCTGGTCATTTATATCACAGTGTTTTGAACAACTTTGTGTGCTAATTTGTTTTCATAATGGTCACTGCATTAAGCTCTGGAATTTATGCCACTTTTATACCTCTCCTTCCTTTTAAGACATCCCTTAAAATGCACCTCTTTGATCAAGTTGTTACTCACTTAACCTTGTATCTCATTACATAGCTCAGTATCAAGTTTTATTTTGATAATGTTCTTGTGAAGCACCTTAGGATGGTGACTGTGTTAAAGACACCATATATATGTATATTATTGATGCATTGTTTGTAAAGCATTTGGAATGTCTTAGAGGGACAGGTCACGACCTTTCTAACTTGGGAAAAAGGGTAGGCCTTGATAAAAATTCTGCTTAAGAGTCATTATCTGTAAATAGAGGATTAATATTAATGTTTCATGGTATGGAAAATCTGCTGTAGAAGTAATATTTTTGGAGATTCTAAAGAATTATATGTGTTTGTTGCAGTTATGTTTGCCTACGAACAATGTCTGCTAGTTTTAGGACATCATCCTGATATCTGGTACGAAGCTGCCCAGTACTTGGAGCAATCGAGCAAATTGCTGGCAGAAAAGGGGGTAAGCCAGACAATCAGTTTATCTTGTTTAATTCAGTCAAATCAGAATCAAGAGAATGTGATAATATTTGTTTTTAATGTTTTTACAGATGTGTGTCAATGGTTAAGGCCATTGTACCATGAATACCCTAAAATGTCAACTACAAGAGAATTATTGTTTCTAATTTAGTAGAGAGCACTGGAGAAATAATTGCAAACTCTTTTGTAGAATTGTTTAGAATAATGTGAGCTCTCCTGAGGCCATTGCTTAATATTCCCTGACTCGAAACATCGTAATCGACCATGCTATTCTCTGTTGCAGCATGCTTCGTGGTCTTTTTGTAAAACTATGCTGACAACAGCATGTTTTGATCAACACTAGTGTGTTATATCTAGTGATGTCTGAATCTCCTTGGCAACAATTATTGAATACTTGTATTTGGCAGTTTCCCTGAGCTCCTCCATTCCAAAAATCAACTCCTTCAAAAAGAGCCATTAGCTGTCTATCCATTAGCATTTTCATTTCCAGTGCATGTCTCTGTTGGTATCTGATCCTTTACATTATTGTGACTATTTATTTCTGGCTATTACTTTCCTTTTTTTTGAATCTTCCATTATGTAATATGAGTGGCACTAGCAAGACCAGAATTTGCTGCCAATCCCTAAATACCCTATAGAAAATGCTTGTAAGTCACCTTTTAGAACCTCTGGAGTCTACATTGTGCAAATACAATCATTGTACCTTTTAGAAGTGATTTCTAGGCTGTTAACTGAGCAGTAATGAGGAAACGGCAATGTAGTTCCAAGTTTAGATAATGTGTAGCTCAGTGGAGAGCTGATGTTCCCAAGAGTCTGCTATCTTTGTTCTTCTAGGCAGTGGAGGTTTTGGGTTTTGATAGTGCTGTCATAGAAGCTTTGGTGAGCTGCTGCAATGCATTCACAAATAATACCTAGAATATTGAATCCCTACAGTGCGGAAAGAGGCCATTCGGCCCATTAAGCCTGCACCAATCCTCCGAAGAGCATCCCACCCACACCCAGCTCCCTACCAATCCCCATAACCCCTCACTTAACATGGCCAATGTACCTAACCTGCACATCTTTGGACTGGGAGGAAACTGGAGCACCCAGTGGAAACCTACGCAGAAAGGCAGAGAATGTGCAAGCTCCACGCAGTCAGTCACCCAAGGCTGGAATCAAGCTCAGGTCCCTGGCTCTGAGAGACAGCAGTGCTAACACCGAGCCACCATGCTGTACCTGTGGTTTTTATTCACGTGGCCTGTTATCCTGTAGCTTGCTACTGTCCTTTTTGCATTTAGCAAATGCAATTTACCCACTATGTGTAATACCCAATATGACTGGAAATGTTTTCCGATTTTTCGTCTCCCCCTTTCCATTTGCACACCTGAGGTTGTCTTCCTATCTCTGCAAACTGTTACAAGGATCTGCACTCCTCCAACCCTGGTCCTTGTACATCCTTAATTTTAATCGCTGCATCAGTCGTGACCTTACGGTCAGCAACCTAGGCCCTAAACACTGGAATTACCTTCCAAAATCAACCCCACCTCTCCACCCCTCTTTCCTTTAAGTCAATCCTTATAACCAACCACTTATAACAGTGTAAAAGTTGAACTTGTAAAAGTTGACAGGTGACTTTTTGCTGAAAAATTCAAACTTTTCATGTAGCTCATGTGGAAGTCAACCTTACCTCATCAGGGATCAAAGCCAAAACAATTTAGAGCCAAAGTATTGATGTTTAAGGTGGTTTAGGATACTAAAATTACAAAAATTTCAAAGTGTATTTCATCGCATTCATGAAATAGTGAGGTTCTTCTAACTGCCTGGTTAGATTAAAATAACAGTTGGTCTCTCACTTTTTTTTCTTTAACACACTTTTTAAAACTTGCCTCTTTAACTGAGATTTTGGTCATTATCCTATTGATTCACTTCATGTGGCTTCGCGCTAAAGTTTATTATGTTTCTGTGAAGCATCTTGGGATTCGTCACTAAACATGAAAACAAATACAAGTTGTGGTTTTTGGTCTGAGCAGTAATTTTTTTCTCTCAAAAAATATCCCTTATTAGGTAACCCATTTGCTTACGTTGTGCTAAAAACATGGTTTATTTTCTATAGCCCTAATATATATCTTCTATGCTGATATTTTTGTGATGCGTTGATGATTTTTCTTTGTTCTTGTGGTTCTTTCATATATTTGTATCATAATTCCCAATGTGCAGAATGGTCAGCAGTGGTTTGTTTGAGGAGCTTTTGTAATAAATATTGCTTTGTGGCAGGACATGAATAATGCAAAACTGTTCAGTGACGAGGCTGCAAACATCTATGAAAGGGCCATCAGCACTTTATTAAAGAAGAACATGCTGCTTTACTTTGCTTATGCAGACTACGAAGAAGTGAGTAAAGATTGTACTGTCATCTAGTACATAAAGCAAATGCTGCTTTAATCTTTACTTCCTGCTCTCTCTTTTAGTAGCACAGTTAATGGGCATGCTTCTGCTTTTTTCAAGAGTCGGATGAAATATGAAAAGGTACATAGCATATACAATAGGCTCTTGGCTATTGAAGATATCGACCCAACATTGGTGAGTGTTATTTTTGTTTATTCTCAGTTTATGAATAAGAATAATGACATAAGTATTTATATCATCATATTAATTTAGAAATTTATGGAAACTGAGAAAGAGGTTCGGGTGTGTGTGAAGTCCAGGCAAGAATTTGAAAGGAGTGCAACATCTGCTTTAAAAAATGCATGAATATAGAGAGAAACATTAGAACAAGGGTAGGCCTTCCATCCTTTGAGATTGTACGGCCATTCAATTAGTTGATTTGTATCTTCCATTTGCTTTTCTTATCCTGTTACCTTTAATAACCTCAAATTTATGGCACTTGATTTGAGCACTTAACCAATATGCAATTTTATTTGGTTATTATTAATAATATTTTCCTTTTGTCACTTTTTAATTTGCCTTCCCCATCAATTTATACTGTTGTAATTCCAGACCAAGGTCACCAATTTATATTTTGTTCTGGTGAGGGAGCAAGAATTTTTAATTTTAAAGTAGACAAAATGTGACATTCAAGGTACTTACTAAGAAAGTAAAACTTCAAGGTTCCGTGGTTTTAAATAATGCTTTACTACACAAGTTAGAATAGTAATACGTTCACAACCTGTTTCTATCATGAGTACTATATTCACCACACCCTTCTTAATCACAAAACATTGAGGACAATTTTTAGTGCCTCCTCTGTTAGAGATTGGTTGAATTGGCACTAGGAGGAGACATGAATTTTGTGGTGCAGGACCAATCACACTAGTAATTTTAAACTAGAAGTGCATGATTTATTATTAATGTTTGGTTTAAAGGTTTACATCCAGTACATGAAATTTGCACGAAGAGCCGAGGGTATTAAGTCTGGTCGATCCATATTTAAAAAAGCAAGGGAAGATCCCAGAACGCGCCATCATGTCTATGTGTCTGCTGCACTCATGGAATATTATTGTAGTAAGGTAGGCATTTCTGTTCTGTCCTGAAGCGCTCAGTTCTGTAAATATATAGGAAGTTTCATGGTATATGTAACGGCTTTCTCTGCTCCTTTTTAGGACAAGGCAGTAGCCTTCAAGATATTTGAGCTAGGGTTGAAGAAGTATGGGGACATTCCAGAATACATATTGGCTTACATTGATTATCTTTCTCATCTTAATGGTAAGAACTGTATTCCATTTACAGCTGTCAGTCATTTCTCAGATGTGAATAATTAATGAATAACATTTGGGTTGTTGAGATATTGCAAGAAAGTGGCATTGAGGAGAAGATCACGTGATCTGGACTGGAGGGACAGGCTTGATGAGCTGGTCTACTCCTGTTCTCATGTGGGAGAAGTATGTTGACAGCTGTGCCTGCTTCTAAAACTTGTTTTTGGAAGTCATATTTGTTAACTTTATGCTGTGTACATTGCAATGCTGCAGCAGCACTAAATTAAGCCTGTGGGATTGGCTGGGTCTTTCCAACAATTGGTAGTCGGTATGATTGAATAGGTTTCACCTTGCTGCCAACTACAAGAGACTTGCAGGCCAAGAGCACAGACTTTGAACAACATAAAAACAATTTAAGAATCACAGTATCTAAAAATGAAAAGAAATATATTTATATATCTTCCCATGCATCCTTAATGGTAATGTGCCATTATCAATAATTACAACACGTTGATGTGTTTCTGTAGCAACTTTAAGATAACAAAGCTGACCAAACCATTTGGGAAGATCACAAAATAATAAAGGATTTAGAGAGTTGGTCTAAAAAGCAGAGTTGAAAGATGTAGATTTGATCTTTTATGTTGACTGTTAGAAAGAAAGAAGACAAAAACTTGAAGGAAAGTTGCAGTGAGTGGCCCTAAAGGGGCTGTAGGATGCTTCATCAGATAAAGAACAATAGGTGCTATAGGAGTCCGGGGTTGGAGAATCATAGGTTATGGGTTGGAACATAGGATTAGAGAAGGTTACAGAGCCAGAGCCAAGTGACAACATGAGACAGTTGGCAAATTAGGACAATGATTTTGGGTTCTGTGTAGCCAGAATTCGGCTTTGTTGCTATTTAGGTTATAGAGCTATAGAGCTGTACAGCACGGAAACAACTTGTCCATGCCGAACAGAGATCCTAAATAAACCTAGTTCCATTTGCCAGCATTTGACTCCTTTCCCTCTAAACCCTTCCTATTCATGTACCCATCCAGATGCCTTTTAAATGTTGTAATTGTACCAGCCTCCATCACTTCCTCTGGCAGCTCGTTCCATACACACACCACCCTCTGCATGAAAAAGTTGGCCCTTAGGTCCTTTAAATCTTTCCACTCTCACCTTAAACCTAGGCCTCTAGTTTTGGACTCCCCCACCCTGGGAAAAGACCTTGTCTATTTACACCATCAATGCCCCTCATTTTATAAACCCCTATAAGGTCACCCCTCAGCCTCTGACACGCCAGAGAAAATAGCCCCAGCCTTGCCTCGGCCTATAGCTGAAACCTTCCAACCCTGGCAGCATCCTTGTAAATATTTTTTGAACCCTTTCAAGTTTCACAACATCCTTCCTGTAGCAGGGAGAATAGGTACTTAATTTAAATGAATAACTGATTTCAATTTTAATGTCAAAACTAATTGACTGTTCTGTCCAAATATTCTGAAAATTGAAAAGCGTACCACTAAGTAAGTAAAAATCCGAACATCTTTGAAAAGATATTTTGTTTACAAAGCTACAGTAAGTAGTCTACATTACAGTTTGTTTTGGGGAAATGGAGAGATTCTAGGCTAACATGAGGGATGGAGCGGTAACCCAGCTATGAATAACAGTTTAATTGGTAGAGAGAGCGAGAATGACCAGAGTAGCAGAAGTGGAAGTGTGCAGTCTTAGTAGTATTGGAACAAAACTTTGCATTTTCAGGTCAGTTCTTGTTTGAATGAGGCGCTAACTGATTTAGCTTAGCTTAAGTGAGAGGGCAGGGAAGAAACAGGATCCCATGAAAGGTTCCAAATAAGATGTCATTAATGTTCCCAATGAAGTTCTGGATCATATGTGATTTGAAATGAGTAGTTTGACAGCAGAAAAATGGTTGTGGAATTAAAAATGATGACAGACAAGTAGGACCTGATCCATTGGCATCTGCTTAGAAAGTGACTCCATAATTGCTGATATTTCCCAAGAGCTACAAGAAAATAGGAGAGAAAAGGGGATCAAGGGTGGAATCTGGAGATACTCTAGAGATGACAGTGAGGAAGCAAGAGCAAAGGTTGCTGCTAGAAATAACACTGGCTCAAATGGAACTACGGAATTCAAACCATTCAAGAGCATTTCTTGGAAGGTAGGTAACAAATGAGCAATGATTGACCAGAGCGGGAGAAAACAGCTCTTTATTGACAGAGATAACAAATTGTGGAACTGGATTTTTTCTGAGGAAGGGTTCCGACCCAAAATGTCAGCTTTCCTGTTCCTCTGATGCTGCCTGGCCTGCTATGTTCCTTCAGCTCCACACTGTGTTATCTCTGACTCCAGCACCTGCAGTTCTTGCTATCTCAACTCTTTATTGACATTGTCTGGAAGAGAGAAGAAGGGGGTGAACATTGAAGTGTCTCTTTGGATCACTGGGAGCACAATTGTATCTGAATTAGCAGCTTTGTTAGTGAGTTCTTACTGCGCCACCAAATGTGCAAAGGTGGCATGATGGTTCAGTGGTTAGTACTGTTGCCTCACAGCGCCAGGGACCCAGGTTCGATTCCAACCTTGGGTGACTGTGTGGAGTTTGGACATTCTCCTCGTGTCTGCATGGGTTACCACCGGGTGCCTCCAGTTTCCTCCCACAGTCCAAAGGTGTGCAGGTTAGCTGAATTGGCCATGCTAAATTGTCCATAATGTCCAGGGATGTGTAGGCTAGGTGGGTTAGCCATGGGAAATGCAGGGTTACAGGTATAGGGTAGGGAGTTAGGTCTGGGCAGCATGTCTTTCGGTGATGACATTTGGATAATTCTGTTCAGATGTCAAGAAAAGAATCCGTGACATCATTGCTAAAGTGGGTCCACCTGGTGACCTTACCAATGTTGTTTTCACAACCAGTGCCGCCAAAAGCAAATAAGTTATTTGTATGGCTGGTTGTGCAAAATTGTCTTAATTTTTGGTTTGCGTATATAACATCACCTATACTGCATGAGTCCATAATTGGCTCTGAAGTATTCTAAGGCCTCCTGTAGATAGGAAAAGTGATACGTACTTGATAATTGCCCTTTCTTTCTTCAATGGGGGGAGCATTGAAGAGAAGATCGCCAACAGGTCACTGTCACTTTGCAGCAGCTTATGCAAAATAGCATTTGATAATTTGCACATATTTCAGATGTTGGAACAGAACAGCAATAAACAACTTGCAATCTGAGGTCTCTGCTTGCTTATGTTGTAGTACTTCACACAGAATATTTACTATTGTACCATAGCATGGAAGAAGGTAAAGACTAAAGGGAATGTAAGTGAGATTTTGTTCAGATCAATCAGGTACAGTGTTCCTGAACATTACAGCTGTTCCAGTGTTGCATTCTGTGCAAAGTCTTCCAGAACAACTGGAAACTAGGACAGAGCCTAGTTACGGAGTGCCATCACTAACAGCAACTTGCAATTATATACCACCTTTTATTGTCATAATGTGTTTCACAGAAGCATAATCAAACAAAATTTAACACTGAACTATGTAAGAAATATTGAAGCAGGTGACTAAAAGCTTGGCCAAAGGATCCTTTTTGAAGAGGAGAGAGAAGTTTGAAGGGAATTCTAGAGCTAATCTGTAGACATGGCTTCCAATTGTGGACAAAATAAATTGGCAATGTACAAGAGACCAGAATTTGAGGAGCATAGGTATCTTGTACCGTTGGAGAATTTTGCAGAAATGGGAAGAAGATGGTCATGTGGATGCAATTTGAACCTCCACTCCTCATCCTATAGGCCACTAATGGGGAGCCTAAATGGCCTGGGTGAAAACCATGAAAATTACAATACCCACAATCCCAGGCTAGCCTCTGAATCTAGAGTGTGATTAGCACTGGTACAATTAGTGGGACTCACTAGTGATTTTGGAGCCCACCTGGATGACCAAACCTAAAACTTCAAAAATTAAATAGAATATTCAGCACAGAAATTAGCATCTGGCCCAACAAACTAGCGTTTTTATATTTCATGCGAGCCTCTACCCAACCCTCTTATAAGAATCTTTCTGTATCGGTCTCTGCACAGTAGTGTATACTAACTGCATTTGTCTACATTACAGAGGACAATAATACCAGAGTTTTGTTTGAACGCGTGCTGACATCTGGATCCTTACCACCTGAGAAATCTGGGTAATATTCCTGTCCTTAAATCAGCATGTAGAATGTTGAATATTTTTAAATGTTTGATTGTTGAAGTGAATTTGATGTAAGTTTTACTAGGTCATTATTTAGTAATGAGCAATCTTGGGGATTTAATAAACTACTATTTTCAAGATTTGTTTTGGAAATGCATTCTTTATATGATGTCTTGCCTTCTCATGGCTCATCATTCACAATCATGACTCAGTAGAGTACTCAATACAAGCACAGTCAACTACTTCTTAATTCAAACCATCTGATAATTTATACCAATGTAACATAAGTAATTTAACATGAGTAGCCTGTGTGTACACTGAGGGTCAATAGCAGTTCTACATTCTGGGATTAGAATAATGGTGTAGTGAACAATTTTATTTATTCATTCACGGGATGAGGGCGTCACTGGTCAGGCAGCATTTATTGCCCATCGCTAATTGCCCAGAGGGCAGTTAAGAGTCAACCACATTGCTGGAATTACATGTAGGCCAGACCAGGTAAGGATGGCAGTTTCTGTCCCTAAAGGACATTCATGAACCAGATGGGATTTTTCCAACAATCAACAATGGATTCACATTAGATTCTTAATTCCAGATGTTTACTGAATTCAAATTCCACCATCTGCCATGGCAGGATGCAAACCCAAGGCCCCAGAACACTATCTGGGTCTCTGGATTAACAGTCCAGCGATAATACACTAGGCCATTGCTTCCCCTGTGAAGAAGATTATCTCAGAGTACAACAGGACCTCATCTGATCAATGGAGTGGCAGATGGTGTTTAATTTAGATAAATATGAGTTATTACATTTTGATAAGGCAAATCAGAGCAGGACTTATTCAGTTAAAGGTAGGGTCCTGGGCAGTTTTGCCAAACATAGGGGTGCAGGTGCATAGCTCCTTGAAAGTGGAGTCGCAGGTAGACTGGATAGTGAAGAAGGCATTTGGCATGCTTACCGTCATTGGTCAGAATATTAAGTATAGGAATTGGGATGTCACGTTGTGGCAGTATGGGAGACTGGTGAGGCCATTTTTAGAGTACTGCATATGATTCTGGTCGCCCTGCTATAGGAAATATGTTGAGAGGGTGCAGAGAAGATTTACAAGAATGTTGCCAGACTAGAGGGTTTGAGTTAGAGGGAGAAGCTAAATAGGCTGGGGAGCTTTTCCCTGGAGTGTTGGAGGACAAAATGGGCATATATTCTATTCTACTCTGTCCCTAGAATTGACTGTCTTGCTAAATTATTTGAGGGCAGTTCAGGCTCAGTGAAATTACTGAGAGTCATAGAATCCCTACAGTGTGGAAGCAGGCTATTTGGCTCATTGAGTCCACACCAACTCTCCAAAGAGCATCCCTCCCAGGCCCAGACGCACACCCCTATCCAATCCTTGTAACCCTGCATTCCCCATGGCTAATCCACTAGCCCGCACATCCCTGGACACTGTGGCAATTTCCTAACCCGCACATGTTTGGACTGTGAGAGGAAACCCACACAGACACGGGGAGAATGTGCTAACTCCACACAGACAGTTGCCTGAGGCTGGAATCAAACCTGGGTCGCTGGCGCTGTGAGGCAGCAGTGCTAACCACTGAGCCACCTGGCCACCCCATCTGGGCTCTCATGTTGGCCAGACCAGATAAGGATGCCAAAATGCCTTCCCTAAAGTAAACCAGATGCATTTTCACAATTATTTGACAATGGTTTTATGGAGCTTCTGTCGTGGGATTTGAACCAATGTCCCTCATTTAAAACTGGGCCTCTGGATTACTAACCCAATGACACTGCTGTCATGCCATGTCTTCTCCAAAGTAATAACTTTCAAATGGAAATTGAATAAATACTTGCAAGGAAAAATTTGTAGGACTGTGCAGAAAGGGCAAGAAGAACAAATCTTTCAGGGAGCCAGCACAGGCTTGATAGGCTGTCTTGGCTTCTAGTCTCCAAGTTTTTATTAACATGCTTTAAGTGACTATTAATGCAGATTGTTGTACTAGTCAAAAGTTTTGTAGTTTGAAAGGGAGAATTGAAGATTGGAAATGGTGTTAAGTGCCATGATGTGCTGGTCTTTGTACTGGGGTGATTGACAGATTCTTCTGTCAGCAGAGCCTATCATAGAAGACACCATATTAGAGAGCTGCTGTATTTTACACGCACTTTCTTGGCGGTGAGGAATAAATCAGAAACTCTCAGACAGCGTGATTAGAACTATGCTAATTCTGGTCTTTCCTATGTTGCTCCCATCAAAATTGCAGAGAGATCTGGGCACGATTTCTAGCTTTTGAAAGCAACATTGGAGATCTAGCTAGTATTCTGAAAGTGGAAAAGAGGAGGTTTGCTGCTTTTAAGGAGGAATATGAAGGAAAGGAAACAGCCTTACTAGTGGACAGATACAAGTTCATGGACCTGTTTCCTTGTTCCAATAGTGAACTTAAAGCCCTTGGATATAAGGTATGTACTTCTGCACTGTTGAATAAGATTCAGTATTTGCATTCTATCACATGTCAAAGTATGGTTAGTTTCATGATTTTTCTTTGAATAATGGCATCAGTGTCTGGTCGTGAGTTCGGATTTTGTTTCAGTCTGCCAGGTAGTCCTATTGTAGAGGATTTTGAGTTACTATTTTTATTAGCACCAGAACCTTCTGGTTTGTTTGGCCCAGTTTCTCTAAAATTAAACTTCCTGATTCCTTATAGAGGCCACTTTCTGCAAGCTTGGATCACTGCAGTTACTTGAGGATCATCATCCTTTTAGAACAAGAGCAAACAAGCCTTTGAGTTACTATAAATCAGATCTTGTCTTTCATCTGGTATCTACATACCTCTGCTAATTACCATAAATGTTTATCAGCAATACTTCAAACTTGAAAAATAGATGTCATTGATCAGAATTAATGGAGAAAGGATGTCAAAGAAAATAGCAAGCATTTCAGAATTTTTGACATTTGTAACTAGGATGCTCTGAATTATCAAAAATGCTAACAGCAGAACCTTTCATCCTGGTTTGCACATGTGAACGAGTAATGTCATCTTGAAAGCTTTGCTCCAGAGAATGAGAATATTAAAGATTCTGTGTGGTTCTGCTCTCTATCCCTGTTCAAAACCTTTCTGCCTCATCCACAGAACTGAAATTGCCCAAATGGTTACAACCTTCTGGAGCTACTGTTCCTTGTCCTCCTCCATCCATCCCCATACTCGTAGCTTTAACTTGATTGCACTCCAATCTGTCCCTAAATAAACTGTATATCTCTGGACACTCCATGAGCTTTCTTCAGGTAGCCTTGACTTACTTTTCTGCCTCCTTAATTTGTTATCCAATGTGCAGTCGCTTAAGGGCTGACATCAAAGCCATAATTCCAACACCACCCTTGAATCTGTTGCCAACACCATGCTATCTGTTTGTACAGTGTGTGGAAGAACTTTGCAGCTAAGCACCAGCCAGCTGGAAGGCTTTTTTTGACTGTTACAGAAAAGTTGCACCTTTTAGACCATAAAACATACGAGCAGGGTTAGGCCATTTGGCCCATCGAGTCTGCTCCACCATTCAATTACCATTGATCTGTTTCTCAACTCCATTCTTCTGCCTTCTCCCCTGTAAACGATGATCCCCCTTACCATTCAAAAACCTATCTCTGTCTTGAATACATTTAATGACTTGGCCTGCACAGCCTTCTGCGGCACTGAGTTCCACAATCCGGCTGAAGGGTCTCTGGACCCCCTCTAATGCCAGCACATCCTTCCTCGGATACAGGACTCAAAACTATTACAATATTCCAAATACAGACTGGTTAGAGCTTTCTATAGCCTCAGCAGTACTTTTCTGCTCTTTTATTCTAGCCCTCTTGAAATGAATGCTAACATCGCATTTGCCTTCTGAACTGCCAACTAAACCTGCACTTTAACTTTGAGAATCCTAAACGAGGACTGCCAAGTACATATGTGATTCTGATTTCCGAAGCCTTTCCCCATTTAGACAATAATCTACGCTTCTATTCTTCCTACCAAAGTGCATAATGTCACACTTTTTCACATTGTATTCCATTTGCCAATTCTTTGCCCACTCTCCTCGCCTGTCCAAGTTCTTCTGCAGCCTCCCCACTTCAACTGTACTCTTCCCTCCACCTACCTTTGTTGCAAAGTTTGCAGATGACACAATGTCCTTAGTTCCTTCATCCAGATCGTTAATGTATAATGTGAATAATTGTGATCCCAACACTGATCCCTGCAGAACTCCACTTGTCACCAGCTGCTATCTTGAAAAAGAAGCCTTCATCCCTACTCTCTGCCTTCTGCTAGTCAACCAATTCTCTATCCATGCCAGTGCTTGCCCCAAACACCGCGGGCTCTTATCTTATTTAGTAGCCTCCTGTTTTAATTTTTTTCATTTCTAACCATCTCCTTGCTGCTCTGATTAATCCTAGTGTCCAGTGTGATCTTCAGCTAAGGTTCAAAATCCTATATTTGCTCCATCTTACCTATCTTTACCTCCATCTTACCTATTCCCAGTCTTAATACCTGTACACATTGTCTATGTTCTTATCTCATCATTGAAACCCTTTACCATGCTTTCACCACTTTGTGCTTTAGTTGCCTCTCTCTGCACCATTGTTGTCATCCTGAACTCCAAACTCCATAAACTCAAGTCATCCTTTGCTCTCAGGGGGCTATAAAAATCCCTGTCACTATTTGAAGATGACAGTGAGAGATCTCTCCAGTGCAACAAAAACGAAAAGCCAAAATGCTGGAAATCTGAAGTAAAACAAAGGGTTGGAGAAACTATGCTTGTCTGGCAGCATCTGGGGAGAAAGAAACAGTTAAAGTTTTCAGTCTGATATTGAGATCATTCAAAACCAGGTGTCATAAACCAAATGGTGATTAGAATGTGCAACTTACTAACCAAGGAACTAGTTGATGCAAATAGCTTATTGGATGCTTTCAAAAGGTAACTAGATAAATACGAGAGAAAAGGAAATAGATATCCTGAAAGGCCGAGATGAGCCAGATGGGATGGCAGGAGACTTGTGTGGATATAAACACTGACTTGTTGCATCAAAGACTTTGTCCCTGTGCTGTTTATTCCATGCGAACCTAAAGCCCTTGAGTGAGAATTACTTGGAAGGGGGCAAGAAGAGTAAGCAAAACAATGGTTACAGTATTTTGGAGTTGTCAGGTTAAGTAAAAATATTTGCCTCCTTTCAGGATGTTTCTCGCAATAAACTGACTGCCATAATCCCAGACCCCATTGTGACCCCTTCAGCTGTGACTGTACTGAAGGATGAGGTTGATCGGAAACCAGAATATCCTAAACCTGACACCAACCAGATGATACCTTTCCAACCCAGACACTTAGCACGTAAGTGGTTTATGTTGGGTTTCAGTTAGCAATAATGGATTTTAACGTAACCAGATATTCAGTATAAATGGTTTAATTATTTTCATTGCTCTGCCATAATAAGAGCCAAGTTGGAGTGTCAGTGATGCATTGTTTAAATAATTTTGCTGTAGTAACACCGGAAGCATTAAAGAAATACTGTGTTGGTTGTTTTTGTGCAGCTCCTGGCCTTCATCCTGTTCCCGGAGGAGTCTTTCCTGTACCTCCAGCTTCTGTACTCCTAATGAAACTGTTACCACCTCCAACGTGTTTCCAGGTAATTGCAGGGATCTTTCTTCATCCTAGCACAGATGGAGTCGTTTTGATTTTTTGGTGCCAGTGTAAAATAGGGAATATCAGATCAACAGTTCAACTCCTCTCACTATCTCTATCTATCCTCCCCCACCCCCAACCTCCCTTCCTTGTCATTTCCGCTGTTTGGATTGGAGAGAGATGGGAAACATAAGATGGAGGTGGATTCACCATTTAATTTCCCCAAAAGCATCTGTTCCAGGAAGATAGTTAGCAATAGGGGAACAGTTCAGGTATTAATCTAATCTAAACAATTTCTGCAGGCTATGTGCTCTGTGGAGACCAAGTAAGACTAATATAAAGTCTCTTCCCTGCACTCAGTATGTGGAGCTAGCACTTGACACATATCAGCTCGCCACCTTCACCATTGCATTATCATCAACTTTTCTTCAAGACTGCGTTTATTGAGAATGCCACCACCAGGTGGAGCAGTGAGCATGCACACATGGCAGCCAGCTGACCCTGTCTGCACTTGCGCTGGTGACCAGGGCACTCTGGATAATCACTGCATTTCTTCAACTTTGTATATATTTGAAATGGGAATTAATTCTAATGTTGAGCAATGTGAGGTTGACCTTGATGCAAACTGTGGCTCACCTAACCTGGTAATTTTGTCTTTGATATATTGTATGTCGTGATTGTATTTGAAAATGTCCTTTTTGCAGGGGCCTTTTGTTCAGGTTGATGAACTAATTGAAGTTTTAAGACGCTGTCAATTACCAGATAGTAAGTAATATTTGTTGCTGCATCTTCACAGTCTGTGTTCTAAAGAGAGTAGGATGTTCAAAGTGCATAGGGCCATGAACCTACACAAGTTGGCCCAAACTTCTTTAAATTTTCTTCTGAAATTATCTTTAGTTTTAATTTTTTCTGGCTCTATTTTTTGGTTCACATGTTTAAAGTAAACGTATTGATGTGTTTGTTCAGGTGGTAGAAATAATTTCCCGACAACCACATTACAGGCACGAGAGTAGTCCATTCCTCCCAGTGAACCTGCTCTGTCATTTAATACAATCACGGTTGATTGAATACATCAACGCCTTTTTACCCAAACTCTCCTCATAACCTATTTATACCATTCATAATCAAAAATTTATCAACCTGTACTTTACATACTGAAAGATTAAGCTTTCACAGCCTTCTGGGGAAGAGAATTCCTAAGATTCAGCATCCTCTGAGTAAAACAATTTCTTCTCATTCTTGGTCCTCAATGGTATCCCCCTTATTTTAAAATTGCGCCTTGGGATTCTTGACATTGTGTTTGTAGACCAATATCCTACAGTTGAATTCCAAAACTGTATTCTTTTTAAAAATTAAATTGCGATAGGTGGCAGTTTGATAAAAAAAAGACATGTAAACATTGTTTATTCTAAAAGCAGCAGATGCATGAAATCAGCAAAATCCACTTAACTGATTAAGTTTAAACGTTTTGAAGTAAATTGATGAAAGTGAGAAATGTTTGTAAGCTTCTTGGGGGCAGTTTCCCACTCTTCTGTGTTGGACAGAAACAAGCTAGCTGCAGTTAGTCTAGAAACCTACTCCATCCTAATGTTTCTTAAAAAACTCATTATATTGTGTTATTTGGCAGCAGTTAGTGTCATAGTCCTACAGCACGGAGACAGGCCATTCGGCCCAAATGGGTCTAAGCAGATCAAAATGTCCGTCCACACTAACCCCATTTCCCTGCACTTGGTCCATATCTTTCTAAACCTTTTTTTATCCATGTATTTGTCCAAATACCTTTTAAATGTTGTTAATGTACCTGCCTCAACCACTTCTGCTGGCAGCTTATTCTATATGCGTACCACCCTCTATTTTTAAAAAAAAGTTGCTCTTCAGGTTCCCATGTGTTCTTTCCCCTGTTACTTTAAACTCTAGTCCTCAATTCCCCAACCCTGGGAAAAAGACTGAGTGCATTCACCCTATCCATGCCTCTCATGATCTTATACACTTCTTTGTAGAATCTTTATGGATTACACCTAGATTTCTCATGTCCCATACCAGGTCCTAGGATCAAAAGCCTGTCTGTTGAAGGTTAATTTATAAGGAGCTAATCTTTCATCTGTTTCTGTTAAACTGTAAAGATTAGCTGTGAAATGTGACAGTATCCCTATCTAACAATATTGTTTAAGATGCATCTGAACCAAGACATTTAAACACCGGCTTTCTGTTATTCATACAAATTAGGTATTATAGGCTCCTGCCAGCATCACGTTTTTATTAATTTGGTGTACAGGCCACATTAGAAATACATAATGATTATACTAGTTTTTGAACATTGAGAAGAAGGATTTATTAAACTTTGTAATTTATTTTTCCAGCTGTTGAACAAGCTATTGAGCTGATCACTGGAGGCCAGCCTGAAATGGTTATTGAAGGAAATGGACCCATAGAAAATGATGCTGTGATGAAAAAGCCCCTGAAAAGGGCAGCAAATGAGGATTCTGATGAAGAGGAGGAGAAGGGAGCTGTGGCACCTCCTGTGCATGACATTTACAGAGCACGCCAACAGAAGCGAGTCAGATAATCTTGTCTGTTACAGACTGTTTGAAAGAACTGAATTTACCGTTCTTAAAATGTTGAGACAGAGCTACATCTTCACTTGCCTGTGGAAATGAGACTGTGCTTTCACTGTTGTGCCTCATTCGAATAAGTTTTTAATTCATTTGGATGGGGGAGAAATGGATTATACCTTGTTTCCTCTCTATGAAAACTGTAGTTTTTCATCAGGCTCTCGTTGGAGCAGAATAAAAATGTTTTGGTCTTGGTCAGGCATAGTGCGTGTGCGTGCACATACACGGTGTTAACATTACAACTACAATCTGTACAAGTCTGCTACTCTAATGCAACTTGTGAAACTTTGTGATTTTGTTTTATTTGTCTGTTTCATTTTTTAAAAAGTGGATGGTGTAAATGAGGGAAAGTATTTTAATATCCCACAAAGCTGAAATGCCACTGTCCTGTTGTGTCATGTGGTTTCCTGCCAAGTCTCATTTTACCATTATTTATGGCAATCTGTTTCTTTTTGTAATATGACAGCCTGAACACAACCTTTGTAATAAAGTGATAAAAATACATTTTAAGCCTTATTTGTATGTGTCTACACTATTTTCTTTTCTATCCTGGATGAACAGTTGCAGAGTGCAATCTTCAGCAGTCATTGTAAGGCGTGCTGTAAGCTGAGTGGTATGCAATGCCAAGAGGGAGCTGAGCATGCTCAGGCTTTGCACAAAAGATGACTGTGTACTTAATTTAGCTACTTAGAATTTAGTAAAGCAGGAATACTTTTTCTAATTTTATAGATTGGTTTATTTTATTTTTCCATGATCCAGTAGGCCTAGTGGGATGGAGAGAGAAAACTGATTTCATTTGGCCATCCATACACAATTTACCAGTAGGATCAGAGTGTAAAGTGGACAGGAGTAAGACAGCTGGTTTGTATTCCCTTTCTTAACCCAATACATAATTCCTGTATATTGTCTGCTTTTAAAAAAAAACAAACTGGCACCAGGTGAACTTTTTTTATTACATATAAGTTCGCCTTTCTTGCTTAAATACATTATCACTATTTCCTAATTATAGTGCAAAATTCTAGGAACAAGCAGCCGAAAAAAAATTAGGCACCATCTTCCAAATTGTTCTATGAAATAGGTTATTAGTATTTACACTGGTAAAGTAGTATCTTTAGTTAATACAATGCACACTTCATAGTTGCCTTATGCAACAACACACACGAGTGTAATGCTAAATGAGTGAAATAACGAAAGCACCAGGGAGTTTTTGGCCACTGAATGATGCAACAAAATGTTTTCACTCTACATGACTGTATTTCTTAACACATTCAGTTGATAGTCATAAGAATGGTCCACTATACTCAAGTAATAGTTTGGCGACTTGCATAATGAAAGGCATAAATAACAAGGTTGGACAGTTGTGCAAATATCTGATTTTTTAGGACAGAATTAAACTGCACTACAACAAAAGAGGAAACACAGTACAATCTCCAGAGATTAGCAGCAAACCAAGCTGGTGTGAAGATCACTACGCTTGCAGGCTGCCAAACTGCCATTTGATATCCTCACCTGACCTGTGCCCTGTTCCACCCCCATCTCTCCTAATGTCAAAACAGGGCACTGCTCCACACTCCCTCCACATCTACCTTCACCCCCTATCCTACAACCCTCCCTCTATCTCACCTTTGATCCCAACCTTCCTTTTCTCATCAATTTCCACAGTAAAAGTTATTCACACCCATTCCTAGGATCTTGTGTGATGCTATCTTTCTAATAGTCACTAATTTTCAATTTAATCTATTTCAAGATATTTCTGAAGCATGCTAAGTGCACTCAAAGTAACTGTTCTATCTTCACACCAGGAATATATCATTCTGGGCTTTGAACAAATTGGTCTTGGTTTAGGATGACATGAAATCTGCAAATTCAGCAGAATCTTCAATTGGTGACCTATAACATTCCGGCTTGCAGTCTATTAAAAATAAGCCAGAATTATTGTCCCTGGACAACTGTACCTGTTTCTTACATTTGAACTATTATAACTGTATTAGACCACAGATTATAGTTCATTTACAAACAGATGCCAAAATGTCAACTGCAGTATTTCTGAAATTGGATTTGGTACTTCCAACACTGATGCGATCCAGCCCTCAGGTATGTAAGCATTATTCAGTGGAATGTGGGCCTCTGACACAAGGGCTAGTGACTCAATGACTATTTGCAGTAGTAGTCTTTCATGGCATTACTTAGTGCCAGGCAATCAGCACCAGTCAATACCTATTCCTTATTTCAGTCAGCCGGCATGAACAGATGGTGTGGATATCTGTTGTCAAATAGGAAGAGTCCATTCTAGCTTCAACCAGAATTCCCATCGGGGAGCGTTCTTCACACTGATGAGCAACACTACACATCAGACCTTACCCAATACCATGGGGAGCATTTAATAGATTTAAAAGGCCCAAGATGCTTCACAGAAGCTTAAGCAAAATATTGCCATCAAACCACATAAGGGAAAATTAAGGCAGACAACCAAAAGCAGATGTTGAGAAGTATCTTAAATTTGAAAAGGTGCGTAGAGGGATGGACAGGTTGAGGAAGGGAATTCCAAAGCTTAGGGCCTCAGCATGATCACCAACGGTGCAGTGTTTTAATATTAGGAATGTTCCAGAATTGGAAGAATGCAGTTATATGTGCTAGAAGTGGGTACAGAGGTGGGGAGGCCTAAGGCCATGGAGGATCTGAAAACAAGAATGAAAATTTTCAAGTCCAGGCAAAGTTTAACTGAGGGCTGATGTAGGTCAGCAAGCACAGGGATGATGATGTAATGGACCCAATGCAGGTTCGGGTAGGAACGATAGAGGCTTAGATTAGTTTAAGCTTAAGTAGGGTAGAATCTCGGAGGTTAGCTAGGAGTGCACTGGAACAGTCTCATCAAGTCTTGAGGTATCAAAGGCCTATGAGTGCTCCAGAAGCACAAGTGGCTTAGCACACTTTGTAAAGAGGCCTTTGGTTTCAAAAATCATCCCAGTAATTGTCTTAAAGTTTTGCATCATATCAAGTTATCATTTAACTAAATAGTGTAATGAATACGTTCTACCTTCAGGAGTGATACAAACAAAATTTCAATTAGTATATAACATCAGTCTGTTCAAATAGTTCTATTAATGTACTGTTAGTAATGGGTGGGAAAATAAATTTCAGAGAGGGAATTCAAAACTGGTAAAAAGATAACACAGGTGGAAATGTTTTCCCAGCTTTAGGAAAACCAGGAGTCTTTAACACTGAAACACATCCCTTCTATTTTACAGAAACATGAAGTGCTAGTGCATATTGCACCCTCACCACCTTAGATTATCTCAATGCAAAGTCATTCTCCATAAATGCCCCCTCCCCAACCAGCTTGGCCCCTTCTAAGCCACGTGGAGGGAGACACAAATAAAAAAGATATTGTTGCTTAAACGTGCAATGCTCCTAATGAAATTATCTTGAGGATAGTTGTTCCTCCTCACTTAGCCCAGATAGCTGCGAGCCATTCTTTTTGAGCACTTTGGTCAAGATTGCGTCATAATAAGGACTGAAGACCAACTTGTTATAGTTTACAAGGTGAAGAAACTTGACAGTTACTTCTTCCAACTCGGTTCTAACTGGACCAAGTCCTCCGGGGACTGCAACTGATTTCGGATTGCTTGACGCAAGGATCATCTTCAGGAAAGTCTGAATGCGTGCATCTGCCAAAATACAAATTGGCAATGTCATACTTACGATAATGGTGACAGATACTAGATTTAATCATGACAATCTCTTGGAAAAGGGAAATAAAACAAATTGAAATGATCAGTCAAAATTTACCAAAATTCCAGTAGAAACCAGAGAAGCTAATAAAACTTTAAATACATTTTATAGTATTGCTGAATGGATGTGGCAACTTTGTACCATCTGATTAAAAGCACGTTCAGATAAAAATGTATTGATTATTCACCAGATGCTGCCAGACCTGCCAAGTTTCTTCAGCTATTTCTGTTTTTGTTTCAGATTTTCAGCATCCACAGTTCTTTAAAAACCAAAAGAAATGCGGATGCTGTAAATCAGGAACAAAAACAGAATTTGCTGGAAAAGCTCAGCAGGTCTGGCAGCATCTGTGAAGAAAAAATCAAAGCTAACGTTTCGGGTGCAGTGACCCGTCACTGGACCCGAAACGTTAACTCTGATTTTTCTTCACAGATGCTGCCAGACCTGCTGAGCTTTTCCAGCAAATTCTGTTTTTGATCCACAGTTCTTTGTTTTTTTATTCAGTATGGCTTCCTTGCTTTAAAAATCTATTCTCCTATTCGTAAAACTAAAGATTCTATATGCTTTTTAATAAACTTATCAACATTCCTCTTCAAAGATTTGTAAACATACACCCCCAAATCTCTCTATTCCTGCACCTTCTTTAGAATTACCATATTTAAGTTATTCAATGTACTTCATTACAAAGAGAACAATCAGTAGTTAGAAATGAAGTAAAAAATCTGAAAATTGTAAAAGAAACAACAAAAAATAACGATGAATGTGATAAGAAAGTTTAAAGCATCATAAGGAAAACTAAGCAGCAATACAAGGATAATAAAACACATCCAAAGGAATAGCAAAGTCTATTACAAATACATAAGAAAAAAATTGTTAAGAGCAATGTGGCACTCTATGTAATTTGTAAATGATGATCAAAAAATGTCAAAGGTGTTTAATAAATATTTTGCGTCAGTCTTCACTGAAGTGAAAGATATCAGAGAGATGCCTGATACTCTGATGGATAAGAGGAACATTTTAGATAAGATAATCTAAAAGAAAGCAAGTACCAGGGCCCATAAGTGGCATACATTCAATGAACTGAGGAGGTCTAGGGAGGAAAGAGCCTAAGTCTTAAACATGATATTTCAGGGCCACACGGAGTATTACTTTTGTCAAAGGATTGGACATAACAGCACCTAGTTTTAAAAAGGGAGGCAAAACTAACTTGGTCCTTTGAAGTACCCACGGCAGGTAAACTTATTTTTCCCATTCCATGTTTTTTTAAAGCTTCTCGTAATAGTAATTTAATTACAGAAGAAAAGCTGCAAAGACTGAAAAGATAAAACCTGCCCAGTGCTTTGAACTTTTAAATAGTTCAAAACTGAATTACTGACACTGTGTACTTCGGGGAACGCAAAACAAAATATCATGAAGCAATAATGCATACCACATGTGGTGGCATTGTCATTCTTATTAAGCTTTTGCTTCATGGCCTGTATGGCGACAGTCTAATAAGCACATGGTTGATCTGGTTCCGATTGCTCAGTGACTGAATGAGCTGGCAGGTTTAACAAAGGCCATTTGCAATCTTTTTTAGGCATCAACCAGTTCATACAGCAAGACGGAAAATTGTTATGACCGTACATTTTAACTACAGTGTAGTCTTACCTATCAGTTTGTGAACAGAGTTATCTGGACTAGATATTGCCTGGATTTGACCTTTTAACACTGTCTCTTTCTCTGTAGTTAGCAGTGAGAAACCATGTTGAGATAAGCACTTATTTACTTCCACACAGATCTGCTCACTCATACTGACCATAGCCTCAGAAAGATGAAAGGAGCTGTAAATACAATCAAGATTTGTAACAAAGCATGAATACCAATTTACCACTGAATTCTTTTGAGCTTCAATACATTAAAAATAACCTGTCAAATACAATAATTTATTCAGAGAAGATAAGCATCCTAAAAGTGGTTTCAGTTCCTTGTGGGCCAGTTGAAAATAGTTTTCACTCTTAATACGGCCAAATTTAACTCTCTAATGAACTGAGAGAGGACAAAGAGGTAAGATTGGGCATAGGAGAGAGAAATGGAGCAGGAAAGTGCCACAGAGGAAGAAGGAGAAAGGTGCCAGAGAAAATGCTAGACAGGAGGGGGCTAGAGACAGAAAGGGAGAGAGGAAGGCAGGTCCAAATGGTAAGGGGTGTGTATGTACGTGTATATATAAGAGAGAGAGAGAGAGGTAGCAAAAGAGAGGGGATATAGAGAGAGACAGAGAGAGGGAGAGAAAGAGGTAGCGAGAGAGAGAGAAAAAAAGTGTAGAGGGTGAGAGATAGAAATAAAGGGAAAATGAGTACAAGTGAGGTGTAAAAAGAAAGGGAGTTGGAAAGATAGAAGAATATGTTAAAAATCTAACTGGAATAGTAAATTTTATGGCACATATTATTAGTTATAAAACAAGGTAGAATGTAATAACCCAGATTCATTAGGATTCTGCTGGGTATGAGGAAATAAGATCTATTCAAAAATAGATTGCTTTAGTTAGAACAAAGGAAATTACAGGATGAATTAAGGTAGCTAGAAGGGGTTGGGACAAAATACACAGGAACAACCAATTTCCAATTTTTGAGTGATCGAGAACAAGGGGAGGTATATGTAAACCTACAGATGAAATTAAAAAAAAACTTTTGTTAAAGAGAGTTGTGATATTGCGGAATGCATTGTCACCTAGTTTTAGAATTAGTGACTGAACCAAAGGTGTTGCAATGTCTAATAATCTGTTGGAGAGATTGGCAAACAAAAACAATGTAAAGGAACTGGAAGAGTATAGGGGAATTAGGACTGCTGTTCATTGCAGCCTAAATACCAATTCTGACTAGGTTGGATGAAAAGCCTGTTTCCATGTCATAATCTCTATGAAATCTTCTTTGAAATTAAAATTTATGCAGCAGGAGCATAACTAAATTAAAATAATTTACTAGGTGAGCAATGAGTAGCTGTTTGCAACCCACAATAAATCACTTACAGCATATGCATGTCTGTCAGTAAGACTTTAATAACTCTTTTCAGTCTATCCGGAAATCCTGACAGCCCTGATAAAGCTGCACCCGTCATGTTGTATATGACCAGCAGGACAGCCGCTGTAATCGTCAGTTGATTCAATTCACGTTGCATTTCCTCAAAGCGAGATTGGTCCATGAGTACAGGCTATAAAAGGGGATAACAAGATTGCAATTTACCTGCACAGGGCAAGCTTTAGCACAACACTAACTTCAGAAAAAACAAAGTCTTCCCCAATTCTCTTTTCCCTCCATCATTCTCAGATTTTGATCTCCTTTATGACTCAGTCTGAATGTGCATCAACTCCTAGCTAAGGTGACAACATTTCCAGGTTGTTGCCAATATTGCTATGGATTGATTCAGAGAAAGAGAAAATAATTTGCATTCCTATAGTACCTTTTCATGGTTTCAGGACATCTGAAAGAGTTTCAGTGTCATTACTTTTGTAGTGTATCTACTGTAAGTAAAGAAACATGAGTCAAATTGCAAACAGCAATCGCCCACAAGCCTAATAATAACAATGCAACCTCTCTTGTATTGTGGTAAATGTACATATTTTGTTGAAGCTTTTAGTCTTGCATTTATCGCAATATTTTGCAAAAATAACAATGTAAAGGGAAAACAACATTTATCATGTATCAGAGAAGAGTACTGATTGGTTTCTAAATAGACTCTGATTGGTGGATGCATTGCTATGGAGAATGTATCAATTAATGATCACTGACAATTAACTGCCAAGTTTTGATTAAATTTTTAACCAGGTAGGTTGACTCTGATTGGTCAAGGCATTTTCCTAAGAAATGAACCAGCAAAGGGCTGTCACTATTTTGCTAAGTTGAAACAGGTACAGTGTATGTACATGTTCATTCTATCTGCAAAGAACAGGGCCCCATATATTTATATACCAAGCAACCAGTACACACAAGTGCACTACACCACAAACTGACTGACAATCCTAAATTGGCTGTCAGTATAATTCTTTATGATGTCAGTGTTATCCAGCAAATCTTGATCAATTGTGGAATCACACCTAATGCTAGACACTACATTGTGAATCTTGCAAGAATGGGCTGTTTGGATAGGTTAGTAACTTGCCAGTTAGGAATAGCCAAATGGATATATTAGTTAATACGATCCACCAGACTTTTGGATATACAATCTACATATGTGGCATCATACCAGCAGTGAAATGCATAAACCACATTAATCACTTGTACGATAGGCAGACCACCTTTCTAGATTGATGGCAGCACTCGATAAGCGAGAGAACACCACTTTGTTGCTACTGCATAGTAGTAGTATGATACAGCTAGCTTTACCCGTTGCTCAAACATTTGAGATGCCTTGCCCTTCAGAGTAATCAAAGGTAGGCTGGGCATCTTTCAGGTCCAAAAGTGACAGCCTTAGGTCCATTCATGAGGTTGCATGATAAATACCAATAAATAATTGGATCGTAATAACCATTATCGCACAGAATGTCTTTCAGTAAGCAAACGAATTGAGCCCGATTTATAAGGTTGCCAATAAGGCCACCTAAAGCAAAGGTAAGGTATCTCAAAAGTTTAAGCAAGAGGGGATGCTAGCTGTACTTATTACTCAAGTTTTATACTATCAAATGAGAACAAAAATATTACTTCAAAAAGGTTTTCCTGAATGATTAGATACAACTTCTTTTCAATTCTATTTGCTCCCAAGGATTAAACACTCAGATGACTGAATCATAAGTACATTTCATTTTTTAAACTTATACAGTGAGCCTGCCAATCATATTCAGGTAAAAATGGGGCAAATCACCAAACACTAGACTATGCAATAGTTTGGTTCAATACATCCAAGGTAAAGATATAAGACTGCCCGGATTTAATACAGGGTGCAGAATTATACACATTTAAGAAAATAGTTATTTTTAAAAAAACTATAGTGCACAAGGGAAATAAAGCTCAACATTTTCACGCAGAGGATGGTGCGTGTATGGAATGAGACGCCAGAGGAGGTGGTGAAGGCAGGTACGACTACAACATTTAAAAGTTATCAGGATGAGTATATAAATAGAAAAGGTTTAGAGGGATATGGGCCAAATGCTGGCAAATAGGATTAGATCAGTTAGGATATCTGGTTGGCACAAATGAGTTGGACTGAAAGGTCTGTATCCAAACTGTATAAATCTATGGCTCCATGATTCTTTTTATTGGACAGCCTATTATTGTTCTCGTGTGCCAACAATTAGATTAGATGTAAAATCTACCCTTAGAGAGACTAACATTCACACCAGCATGAATCCATAACTGACATGCATGAGTTTCAAATAGGAGAAAAATTCACATCAAATATAAAGAGGTGGAAGGAATGACAGTAACCTCTGGGAAGAGTCTGTTATCATGATCCCATTTCAGCAATTTCACATATGCATGGTTTAACACTGAAGTAGGGCACAACGCAGAAGTGTCTTTTGCACCTGCCGCAGCTCCACCATACACAGAAGTATCTGCATCAGAGCTCAGGAGTTCACTGGCCGCCTCCTGCAACCATTCTGTAGTGATTTCCAATGAACCTGATAAAAGAAAATCAAAATGTTAGAAATATAAAACAAAAACAGTCCTCATATTGAGAGCTAGGTAGGCTATGCACAATATCTCGCAATATCACATCAATGCAAGTCTTTTCAGTAGCCTTTTCCAGACCTCGAAAATGTGTGTCTCTACCAAGGTACTGAAATTTTTTTTATTTGTTGGGAGGAGGGAAAGACAGGACGAGAAGGTTGATGATTGTGTATTAAGTGATTCATATCTGTCGTCTTAATTTCATGTTAAGTTCTCTAAAATCGATCATCTAGTTATTGTCACAATGCTGTTTACAGAAGTTTTCTGTGCAGAATTTGGTTGCTATATTTCCTACACTAAAATAGTAACTACATTTCAAAAGCACTTCATTATCTGTAGAACACTTTAGGAGGAATCTTATAGGGGGCTGAACAATGTGGGCTACGACAAGAAATGTGGTAAAATTGCAAGAGTCGTCAGCAAGGCCTATCTCGACATCAGGAACAGTTTGTTGCATCCTTCAACTAAATTCCAGGTGTTAAGGCAAGATGCTCACTAGGCAGTGGTGAGTTGCCTATTAAGGATGATTACTGCAATTAACAACTTAATTTACTGCAGATCTCACTCATTAATATGCAGCTTTCTATCATACCACCCACTGCAAGCAAATCAGACACTGGGAATTCTCCACATGAAAGTCAGAGCAGGTACCTTGTGACATCAGCTCACTGCTTGCTCCAAAGGACCTCAACGTTGGACATCAGGAACCAACATCTCAGGGCGCACTAAATGGGCACTCGCCATGTCCAGAGACATGGCATCCGACATTTGTCACCCTGTAAGAATCCTCATGGCACATCTCCAATCCATTTACAGAATGCTTCTGCTCTTCAACGTTGCACTTTGGGGAGCAATAGCAACTATCATTGTAAGGCTGCAGAAAGGACACTTTGCACTCAGCTCATGGATTGGACAAGATTGCATCTCTGGACTGTTCACTTGTTTTCTTGGCATTCACTCACTCTGAGCCTACCTGGATGCTCACCGCACCACTACCTTGCTTTTCCTTTTTGCACCTTTCTGCTGAGTCAGAGATAGCAGGCTCACAGTACTGTTGCACTGCTGTGCCATTTAGTGCAGACACAAAGATAGGAAGCTTGTCCGGTTGTTAGAAGCTCCCAGTCAACTCAAGCAAGATAGCCTTCAGTCCAGGGGGTCAAGCACAGTAAGTAAAGGCAGCCTCGATTACCAGTCAGGGTGGTAACCTTGAACCAGGCTGGCATGGACTGGTGTTGTAGACTCCTCTGATGGTCCCAGATAAAAACCAAGTCCTGTCTCTGCACTACCACATCCACAAGGACCCTGCCCACAAAGCAGGGCATTAAATTTCCCTTATCTACTACATCCAGGGCTAATGTCAGGAACCATACAGGGCAACCCTGGACTAATAATGATGTGCACAATATACAACAGCCTTTTAAAGATGGCACCGGCACCAGGATGCCTGTCCATTCTGGTTTATCAGCAGTGGCGAGTTATGGTTGAAAGGCAAGTGGTGAGATGACACAAAGAGTCCGCAGTGGAACGTGAACAAATTACATGAGTGGGCAAAAAATTGGCAGATGGAATACAATTTGGGGGATGCCAGATTATGTATTTGAACAGGTATAGAAGAGCTGAGTATTATTGAAATGGATAAAGACTGCAAAAAACTACAGAACAGAGGGATTTGGGAGTGCTCGTTCATGAATCACTAAAGGCTAGCATCCAAGTTCAGCAGGTAATAGGGAAGGCAAATGGAATCAGAGATAGCAAGAACTGCAGATGCTGGAGTCAGAGGTAACACAGTATGGAGCTGCAGGAACACAGCAAGCCAGGCAGCACCAGAGGAGCAGGAAAAGTTGATGTTTCGGGTCAGGACATGGAATGTTGCCCTGTATTTCAAACAAAATGGAATATTAAAAAAAAGTAGGGAAATTTTGCTAAAACTGTACAAGACATTAGTTAAACCACAGCTGGAATACTGTGAACAATTCTTGAGCCCATTTTATAAGGAAAGACATACTGGCACTGGAGACAAACCAGGAAAGGTTCACTGCGCAGATAACAGATGCGAAAGGGCTGTTTTATGAAGAGAGATTGAGCAGATTGTATGTATTCGTTGGGATGAAAAAGAATGAGAGGGGATGTTATTGAAGCCTACAAGATTCTCAGAGGACTTGATGCAGTGTACATGGTTGTTTCCCCCGTGGGAGAGTCTACGACCAAAGGGCATAATCTCAGAGTAAGAGGTCACATATTTAAAACAGAGGTAAAGAGGAATTTTTTTTCTCCCAGAGTATAGTGAATCTGTGGAATTCTTTACCACAGAGGTCTGTTGAGGCTGGGTCATTAAACATATTCAAGGTTGAGATTGACAGATTTTTAATAGTGACGGAATCGGAGGATATGGAGAAAAGGCAGGAAAGTGGAGCTAACGATTATCAGCCATTGTCACATTGGATGGCAGAGCGGACTCAATAGGCTGAATGGCCTATTTCTGTTTCTATGTTTTTGGGTCTTATTGTTTTGTGTATGGCAAATGTAGGATAGGGCTAGAATCAGAAGAGGGCCTAGCACTGGGGCGCAGTAAGTAGTTCATGAGGTATGCTTGGTAAGATGCAGGAAGAAAACTCGACAGGTATTGTGAAGAGAAACCGTCTGTGAAACTTGACAATACTGATACTTAGCCGAAGAACATAAGATTCAGACCTTCGAGACATTCAAAGTCATACAAGTTGTTGTCTAAATGCATGTTGCTTCCTCCTATATAAGATTAACTGTTATAGATTATCATTAGGAACATCATACTCTGAAGATGTTTATAGTAACAAAACCTACCTGCTGTTAAGTAGGCAACAATGAGATCAAACAATTGTCAATGAGGAGTCTGTGGCATATCCTAGATTTGACACAGTGCATTGCCCTTCTTTTCAAATGTGATACAGAAAGTTAAAATACAGAAATACTTTATCACATTCTAATCACTAATCAATTCTTCTTTTTCAAATTCTAAATGAATATCTAGTATTACCCTGTAAGTCACCTTATTATCAATGCCAACCAAATTAATTCATTTCCAAGGTTCCCTAATCAGTTTCTCTAATGATGTAATCACTACTCATGTTTACTTATGTGTTTTTTTAAAACAAAAAATTGGAAATTAATTCTTTTTTAATCACTTAACATTTCATAAGAAGTACAGATGGCAAGCCTGCCTCCAAGATCACCAGATGCACTGTGTAATAAACCAGATTGTGTAAGAAGACTCTTTCAACTCTTACCATGTTGTTTGTCAAAGAATTCCTGGAAACTCTTCCGTTCATAATCAACGGATTGTTTCATTAAGTGTGGTCGAATACTGCTAATGGCAAAATTCACCATGTCAAGTTTCATTAAATCCAGCACTGCAAATATCTCCCTGTATATTGAAAATACAAATTTAGAGCAAGTCATGGTTTACATTCTGTGATTTTGACAAGCAGGATTGTGGCTACTGGAGGCACAATTATGGGCATTATGATACTATGACCTGTTTCATTGAGATAGAAAAATAGGACAAAACACAATCATAATACAGAACAGTCATTAGTAAGTAAGCTTCATTTTAAAAATATATTTTCAGCAATTAAGCATAATCACTTAAGAATAATTTGAAGCTGTTTTTGTAAAAGAGATACGACTGGACCATTGCATTAATGATCATTTACAAGTGGATAATACTGCAGGGGTTTTACGTCTCTGAGATCTAGTCTTTAACAGTGCATGGAATCAAAGACCTGCAATTCAGTTTGAAACCACTGCAGAGTTTGGCAAATACTTGAACATTCTGGAGTTGCAATCTTTTAACATTTATATGCATCTTTTAACACATCAGAAATTTCATCTATAGTCAAGAAAACAGAGAGCAGTAGACTGCAACAGTCAAGAAGGGAGCTCACCCCAACCTTCTCAAGGGCAACTAGGGACAAGCAATAAATGCTGGCCCAGCCAACAACATCCATGTTCCATGTGAGAATAAACTTTTAAAAAAAAACTGAATTTTGTGATTCTACTGTGCATCCAGTTGGTATGACCATGGCTACACACTTAAATTAGAGATAATAGATCTCTATTTGGTAGAGTAAGTTCATAGCAATAGATCACTTCAAATAAGGAAAGGCATGAACATATTAATTCATTGCAAAAGAAGCAAAATTGTGTAAGCTTTTAGGTCTAAGCCCATTTTATTCATGGTTGGAAAATTAAGTAACAGAATTAAATCAATTGTTCAAACATGTTACTGAAAATATCTTTACATTGTACTTTTAATCTCATAAAAGTACATGGATGAGCACTTGAAATGTCATATCATTCAAGGCTATGGGCCAAATGCTGGAAATTGGAATTAGTGTAGATAGGTTGACAGACTGGATAGGCCAAAAGCCCTCTTCTGTGCTATATGACTCTGACTAAAATGTCCTAAGGCACTTCATAGGAGTACAATAAAATGAAGTATGACATCAAACTACATAAGAACATATCACATCAGATGACCAAAAGCTTGTTCAAAGTGGTAGGTTTGAAATTGTACAGCATATCTTGCCTGAACAATTCCACCACGTCCGTGATATCTCTGATGATCTTAATATCGTCATCCCTGATAGGGGCACAGAGTGTTCCCATCATCCCGATGATAAAGTCAGCCAGTTTTGGGATGTGCAGTGCACCATTCTCAGCCTCCTGCTTTATGAGCTCCAGATCCAGAACCTCATTGATTTGGTTCCTTAGCCTGGTATGACCCGGCAGCAAGAATGACAAAAGACTCTAGGAAGTAATATTTACTAAGTTAAAAAAATTAAACTAATATATCAGCAAATTAAGGCTTTAAACATTTTCAATGTGTTGTGTTATACTAATCCATTTAGTGACGTTAACAGAGCTGCCTCAGTAACATTTTATTAACACCACATAGCAATTGGTGGTCATTTTATCACCTTTGCCTGCCATTCCAGATTTCTCCTCATTATGTTTGCCATAAATGGCTTTACAGTATACAGTGGAGAAACTAGATTATTAGACTATGTGGGTCAATTTTGCTGATGCAATCTGGCCTTTGCTTGTCTACACAGAAGTTTTGCTGCGTAGAATATCATAAAACATCACTGAAAATTCTCAAGATATTTATGACCTTCCTATGCAGCAATTATTAAACAAACTACTGTTTTGTGCCAATCTCAGCTGAGATTGTCTGAATGCAGAATGTTAGAATTGAGACTTACCCCATCTCTGAGGCTCAATGCCACATTTGCATTTAGGTTCATTTTCCATGGACCCCCATAGGAAGGCAGCTTTCTGGTCCAACAAAATGGATGTTTTATAAATCATGCTATTCACAATAATGACCTCCATAATTCAATATGTACAGTATTTTAAAAAGAAAACTGAAGAAGAGTCCGGGATGCACTGCAGAGACTTAAACCTTAACCTCACATCCCTGAAGCAGGTTCAACCTTGGCAGAAATTCTTAATGCATGAATCTGTTCCTGTATTTTATTAATATTGTCACAAAACACAGGTGTGAATATAAGCCATTCAGTTCATTTTTCAAAAGGTTTCCACACAAATTCGCTTTCAAGGATGCAAAATTAAAACTTCATCATAATGTGCTTAATGATAAAGTTCCAACCCCATTTCAATGAAAGCCTATTGTGACAGGTAATTGTGCAAACTTACAAGGCATTGAAAAAAAGTATTATAGTTACTGATTTTGGGTTGTGTCCAAGTTGCCACTGTCATCTCTCTTCCTCACGTTATTAAGGTTTTGCTTGACTAACTTGGCAGGGGAGGCAGTGAAGATGGGCAAGGAATGGACTGCATTTGTGGATTCAGGCTGGTGGGCCATTAAGGCGAGTTTAAATTGTTTGCTATTGCCAATCTTCCAGGTAATCATAACGTTTGAAGCATTTATCAGTCAGAGTTGATCCATATGGAACAGAAAGCCTGTGCTCAATCCCTATTATTACAGGCATGGTGCCAGCATTGTTACAGTACCAGGCAAGGAACCCAAACTCATATAATCGAGGCAAGTGCTGAAACTAAATTCAATGTTTAATTCTGAGGCAAAATCCTGAACTACCTCTCTAATACCACTGTACATTCACAAGATGGACTACAGCAGTTAAAGAAAGCAGATTACTACCACCTTCTCATGGACAAATAGGAATTAGTAATAAAACCAGTGAAACTCACATCTTAAGAATGAATTGAAAACAATACATCCATCAATTTAGGCTAGCAACAAAATAAAATAACCATGAAACTGCTGGATGGTCATAAAAATCTAATTTCAGTAATTGATTTTGTGAAACGAAAAACTGCAATACCAAACCCACTCTACATTCTGTCAACACCTCCTCAGGAAAACAAGAATGGGCAAGTCAACAAAGTTAGGAGGTACTTGTGATACTAAATATTCCAAATAGTAGATCAATAAAGGATTACAGATTCAAGATTTAATGCGGACAAAACAATCCTGACATAAGATCTTACCTCTTTAATCTCACCTAGAAGCTTAATAGCATGGTCATAAACCGGTGGATCTTCATTCAGCTGTGCTCGCAAACTATCCCAGAAAGCCTTCTTCATAATGTCTTCTAAGGTCTTCTCAAAACTATGCAGAAATATTTGGAATTGTAGAGTTATTATGAAAATGACTGCATAACATGTATGATAGTAGTTTACTCTCATTTAGACGGTGCTTTCTGACAAATGCAGGAGGTATCAGCCAAACTAACTGATTAAGCTATGAATATGCCTGATCCTTTATCATTAATTGAACACAAATGCCTGGGTTTTCAAACAGAGTATGAATAAAGGGTGTTTTGCAACAGCTGACCTTTCCACAAAAAAAAAAGCTGTTAAATGACATGTCCCTGGTACAACTCAATTAGATATGGGTTTCCACAGGTTATTTCGGGAATGAGAAATGCTTACAGTCACTGCAGTGAAACCAGGTGCAAGTGCAAATCCACATCAGTCCTGTATTTCAATATTTGTACATTTTCTCTCCATTAAAATATTTTTATACAAATCAATAGCAAATAAATAGATAGGTAAACTTTTAGTATCTGATGAACACAGTTATGCATAAAAGGAAATGTAACTCTAGGAGTTTTAGATTGTGGGCGAATTTTAATGCAGGCTTCTGAAGCAAGAAGTGCAGCAAAGACTGGAAGCCATAAATTCATGCTGGAAGCTGCACTGCATAGTGAGGTTTGTCAGAAACTCTAGGCTAAATTACGCAGGTGCCAGGAAAGCAACAAAGTGGCGATGCCACAGTGAGACATGGGGAAGATATTTGAGGTCAGTAAATAGGTAGACAAATTTGATATAGCTATCTCTGGCTAGAATTAAATGGTACCCTCTAAATGATATATGCAATGTATGGAGATTGTGAGCTGTCAGATTCCCAACCGTTCATAAGTGGTACTTTTAAGGCAACGTCTCATATTCTGAGTGGAAAGTCAGCCATTGTGGATTTGTCTTACATTGGAGTTGGAGACCTGTACCAAAGGGGAAGAGGAGTCCAGCAAAATTTCAAAGGAGAAGAACTCAGAGGCAACTTTTGGACATTCTTTACAACAGTGATAGCAGAAATGAGGGGTGATCGAAACATGGACTTATCCACCAGGTCCTCAAGAGGAAGGGTGCACCAGGTTCCTGGGCAATTAATACTGGCACAGCAGGTGGCATTACAGGTTGCAGCTGACAGGCCTCAAAAGAACAGCATGGGATTATTGGGAGAGAGGCCCAAGATGGGTTGTGCTCCTTGCCAGACTGTTCAGCAGTTACATAGTCTGCCTCCAGATGTCAGAGGCACCAGTAGCAGAGAAGACTGTGGCTGTCAAGTGCATCAGTGAATGACCTATGCATGAAGGTTTTGCCAATGGAATTGGGTGGATACCCAATGCCATTGTCGCTGAAAAGCACAATATTCAAGTCCAGAATTCCTGTATTCCAAAGTATTTTCTTTACAGCAAGTCCCCCACACAGAAGTCAGCCTGATTGATAAGTGTGGCTCCCAGTCCAACAGACTGCAACTTCAAGTTAGAAGCTTGTAGTGGCTATAGCAAATGTGGTAGGAGTTCCCAATCCCTAGAATGGATGAGCAATGCTACAAAGTCTTCTTCTTGAAGCTGCTCTCACGCTCCTGAGCTGTAAGGGATGGCCAGCATTAAACTATAAAACAAGTTCAATCTGAGATTGCCAGCCTCATTATAATATTTCAATTGCCAACTCCCCTCCTGGGAGTGGCTGCCCATTCCTTGACCCGCCTCCAATGAACTCAGAAGTGGACAGGTTAGGATTACTTTTAAGAGTTTTAACATTTGAACATTTTACCCAAACCACTTGTTTTCAAAGTTAAAACTGCCCATAAAATATTTAATAAATCCTATGTAATTCCTTCAGTTTGCATAACAAAAAGTTCAAATTGCCTTGAGGAAAGACTTAAATAAGGGCAATGATAAATAGGTTATAAAATTAAGAACGAAGAACCATTTATCACAAGGTTGGTGCATCTAACAATGAGCTAATACATTTACACAGTCTTCCTCCACAGATTAAAAGGGCTAAAATAGAAAATAAGCACTTCTATTCTGTCAAAAAACCTACCTGCTCTCTGGTAGATCACGCTGTTTGATAACAAAACTTTCATCAACTACTATCTCATGGGCTAGAGCCATATTACAGACTCCTTTTTCCGCCTCAATCAGCTCTTCTACAGAAACCAAGTTGGGAGGTACTGCTAGAAGCACATGAAATACCACAGTTTAACCATATTCACTCCACTTTGCTCACAAAACATAATCATGCAGAATGTTTCCACTAAGCTGCACTCCAGAAGTGGCAGCTGCTGCTGCACGTGGACCTTGGAGATCCATAGCAGCAAGAACAGTTAGATGAAATTAGAGGGAACATTAATGTTGACCTATTGTATAGCCACCATTGAGATCACTTTCAGTAGTGAAAGCAATTCAAGAGGCATCAGGTCTAGCTCCTGACACACAGCTGTGGTTGAAACACAAACTCAGATTAGTAAATTCAGGATACAAGAATGTCAAAAATACAGCATCCAATCTCATCTCTTTTAAACATCTATTTAAATGCTTTGTAAAAATATAATTTTAATATCATATGCATTCTATTTCCAAATTTGTTTTATTAAATCGTTCTTGTATTCTGTTTATAATAAGACTTATAATAAGTCTTACACAAATAGAAAGACCTGCATTTATGCAGTACTTTGCATACCACTAGTTGCCTTACATACAGACAGAGATATACAGCATGGAAACACGCCCTTTGGCCCAACTCATCCAAACCAACCAGATTTCCTAAACTGAACTAGTCCCATTTGCCTGCATTTGGCCCATATCCCTCTGAACCTTTCATATCCATGTATATGTCCAAATGTCTTTTAAATGCAACTGTACCCGCCTCTACCACTGACTCTGGCAGCCCATTCCATAAATGCACCATCCTCTGTGTGAAACAGTTGCCCCTCAGGTCCCTTTTAAATCTTTCTCCTCTAGTTAAATTACAGTGACTGAAGTACTTTTGAAGTGCAGTCACCATTGTAATGTAGAAAACATGGCACCCAAATGGTGCTCAGCAAACTCCAACAAATAGCAATGTGATAATAATCACATAATCTGTTCTTTCATATAAAATAAAAAACAAAGAACTGCAGATACAGGAAATCTAATGCTCAGACTTAAAGTGCTGGAAAAAGTCACCAAATCCGGCAACATCTGTAGACAGAAAAGCAAAGGGTCACAGGGCTCAAAACATTGACACTGCCAGAACTGTTGAGATTCTCCAGCATTTTGTTTTGTGTTTTTTAGCCATGTTGATTGTGGGACAAATATTGGCCGAATCATCAGGGAAAACTCCTCTGCTCTTTTCAAAAGTGTCCTGCTTCCACCCAAGACAGCAGTCCACTACCATGATATTAACACTGCATCTGAAAGATAGCACAACTGACAATCCTGCACTCTGTCATTACAGCACTGAAGTGTTAGCCTATATTTTTATGCTCGGTTCTGGAATGGGACTTGAACCCAGATCCTACTGACTCAAATGCTGACATATTTTTAAAAATGTCACTTTTATATTTAAATTTTGGAAGGATATTTTTATATAATCCAAGAATAATTAGGTTAAATTGTTCTACCGTCATCACTTTGTCATTCCAAAACCATTCTTCACAACGGTCAGTTACCAACAATTAACCAGAGACCAGCAAGACTATTCAGGCATATTGCTCCCACAGACTTGTATTGCTACTTTGCCTGCTCATAACCAGAAACGTGATGCCATAAACAATTGGCCTTATCAAATGCTGACATAAATGTCAACTTTTCTCCCCTGGGCACCTCTGAATTTATGTAAAGCACTCATTTCCAAGTTAATGTATACAACTACTCCCAGATGTGCTCATAACCTGCATCAGCACAGCAGTTCAGACTGACAAGGGTAAAGCAAACTACAGATTTCCATGCAGGATAGATAAGTAGCAAGTACAATGCTAGCTCCTACAAGGGCACCCTGTTGCTTCACTGTAGGTTTTAAATATTGTAGCTTGTAACCAGAATGCTTTATATGAAATAACCTCTGTGCTATTACCTTTTTTTTCTAAAATTTACAAACTATACCGAAATACATGAATACAAACTTACATGGAAGAGTATTTCCACTGTGGGCAATTTCAGTATTCTGTCTCAGTTGATTTTGTAGATTCTGGGCTTCAGAATCATCCTGTCTATTATGACAGGTGCTTTCAGAGTCTTCTTCCGCATTGTGTGAATGTGGTTTACCTGGCTCCAGGGGCATGCTTGATGTGCTTCGTGTTTCCTCTGTATTGATTTCTGTCCTAGAACCTAAACAAGACCATCACTCTTGCATCATACTGGAGTCCTGCAAAAATGGAATTTTCCTCTCAGGAACAACAGTTTTGCTTAGATATCTACAAAATACCATATTAAAAAGGGCAGTTGCTTCACTAATTGAATCAATAAATTAACAGCAATTGGTTAACCTGCATCATCAACCTAATTTTCACAAGATGACATTGGATAAAATATCCAAAATGTTTACAAAATCCTGTCAATGGGATGTGCACTGTGCACATTACCAGACTGATAATAGCATTTAAAGGATTAAATTGGGAGGATAAGTTGCATTCCTTCGCATTTGAACAGTACAGAATTATTTAATGACAAAAGGATTCAATAAGGTAAAGTGAAAATATTACCTCCAATGGCAGAATTCAAAACAAAATGTCATCTGAAAATTATGAATAGGATATTTAAGAGTGAGAGAGTACACAAAGTGTACGAAAATCCAGAACTCTCCCTGAAAATTCTGTGAAGGCTTGGTAAATTGGCATTTTCAAATAGAGATTGACAGATTATTCCTGACTACAATAGAATTTGGAACAAAGACATGTAAAACAGAACTGAAATACTGATCCACCATGAACTGAATGAACGACAGAACAAACTATAATACAAAATTCTGCATACGATTATTTCTTTTTCCAGGAAGCTCTACATAAAGGAAAATGTCTAATTCCTTTCAAAAGTCTTTTTGAATGTTGCTTTTAAGAATTTGTATCATCCGTAAAGGGATGAGTTATGATTTTCTTCGATAATAAGAATTACTGGCCTGTGTGACCTAGCACTTCTTGATCTGAGGCAGACCAACAAAAAGTTAAGATACAAAGAGGCCATGTGACTGGCAGACACAAAGTAGATCTACAAGAAAAGGGACTGGAGAGAGAAAGCAAACCGTGTTCAGATATAAAAGACAGAATGATTAACACAGAGAATTCTTGTAACATGAAGCAACTCACACTCAGGAGCAGATCAGTTTTTCTGTTTGGCAGGAAAGGAGATCTCTTGAAGGTACTGTGCAAGCTGACTATGACAGATTAAAACCTGGCAGGTTGTGTGAATTGCTCAGAGATGCCAAAGGGCTAGGCGTTTCCCAAAAGTAGCCAAACTGTGAGCTAGGATGTTATTGGCTCGTCAGCTGAAAATGTAAGATTATTAAGTTATTAAGTTACTAACAAGAATACTAATTGTTAAAATCTAACTATTATTATCAGATATCTTTACCAAAACGTCGATTTTATTAGACACCCTTCTTTATAGAATTATAAAGTGGGAAAACTTAGAAATAGGGCACACTACAGGAAAGATGCCAAGATAGAAGGATATAGGCAGTTTGAGCCAATTTTTAAAACTGTTTGCTATCAACAAAAGGAAAGGCCTAATGTGAAAAGCTGTGCGCATATCCCTACCAAATAAGGAACCACAGCATATAAAAGCATTGTGCTACAAAGTTCATACTTAGAACATAGAACATAGAAAAGTACAGCACAGTACAGGCCCTTCAGCCCACGATGTTGTGCCAAACTTTTACCCTAATCCTAGGGTCTATCTAACCTCCACCCCTACCTTATACTATCATCTATATGCTTATCTAATAGCCGCTTAAGTGCCCCAATTGAGGCTGACTCCACTACCCTCTCCGGCAATGCATTCCATGCCCCAACCACTCTCTGAGTAAAGAACCTACCTCTGACGTCTCCCCTGTAACTACCTCCACTCACTTTAAAACTATGCCCCTTCGTAATAGCTACCTCCACCCTAGGAAAAAGTCTCTGGCTGTCCACTCTATCTATACCTCTATTCATTTTGTACACCTCTATCAAGTCACCTCTCATCCTTCGACGTTATAAAGAGAAAAGCCCTAGCTCTCTCAACCTTTCCTCGTAAGACCTTCCCTCCATTCCAGGCAACATCCTGGTAAATCTCCTCTGCACCTTTTCCAACGCTTCCACATCTTCCCTGTAATGAGGCGACCAGAACTGGACACAATGCTTCAGATGTAGCCGAACCAGGCTTTTGTATAGCTGGAGCATAACTTCACAGCTCTTGAACTCAATCCCTCTATTAATGAATGCTAACACACCATATGCCTTCTTAACAACTCTATCCACCTGGGTGGCAGCCTTCAGGGAACTGTGGACATGAACCCCAAGATCCCTCTGCTCCTCCACACTGCCAAGAATCTTTCTGTTAACCCTGTATTCTGCTTTCAAGTTTTTCCTTCCAAAATGAATCACCTCACACTTTTCAGGGTTAAACTCCATCTGCCACTTCTCAGCCCAGCTCTGCATCCTATCAATGTCCCTTTGTAACCTAGAACAGCCTTCCACACTGTCCACAACGCGACCCACCTTCATATCATCCGCAAACTTACTGATCCACCCTTCCACTCCTTCATCTAAATCATTTACAAAAATCACAAATAGAAGAGGACCCAGAACAGATCCTTGTGGTACACCACTCGTAACTGAGCACCATGTTGAATATTTTCTGTCCACTATCACCCTTTGTCTTCTAAGGGTCAGCCAATTCTGAATCCAATCTGCCACATCTCCCCCTATCCCATGCCTCCTTACCTTCTGCATGAGCCTACCACGGGGAACCTTTTCAAACGCCTCACTTAAATCCATGTATACCACATCCACTGCTCTACCTTCATCCACATGTTTGGTCACCTCTTCAAAGAATTCAATAAGGTTTGTGAGGCATGATCTACCCCTCACAAATCCATGCTGACTATCACGAATCAAACTATGCCTTTCCAAGTGATCATAAATCCTATCTCTCAGAGCCCTTTCCAATAATTTGCCCACCACTGAAGTAAGACTAACTGGCCTGTAATTTCCGGGGTTATCCTTATTCCCTTTTTTGAACAAGGGAATGACGTTTGCCTCTCTCCAATCTTCCGGCACTACACCCGTGGACAGTGAGGACAAAAAGATCATCGCCAAAGGTCCTGCGATCTCTTCCCTCGCTTCCCATAGAATCTTTGGATAAATCCCATCAGGCCTGGGGGACTTATCTATCTTCAACTTCCTCAAAATTCCTAGCACATCTTATTTAGTAACAGCGACATCCTCTAGCCTACCAGCCTGTTTCGCACTGTGCTCCTCTACAACTAGGTCCCTCTCAGTTGTGAATACTGAAAAAAAGTATTCATTAAGGACCTCTCCTATCTCTTTAGGCTCCGTGCACAAATTCCTTTACAATCCTTGATCGGCCCTACCCTTTCTCTGGTCATTCTCTTATTCCTCACGTATGTGTAAAAAGCCTTGGAGTTTTCCTTGATCCTATCTGCCAAGGTTTTCTCATGCCCCCTTATAACTCTCCTAAGCCCTTTCTTCAGCTCCTTCCTAGATAACTTGTATCCCTCTAGAGCCTTTTCCGTTCCTTGTTTCCTAAACCTTACATAAGCATCCTTCTTCCTCTTAACCAGTCGTTCCACCTCTCTTGAGAACCAAGGCTCCCTCACTCGACCGTATCTTCTCTGCCTGCTAGGAACAAACATATCTAGCACACGCAGTATGCATTCCTTAAACAATCTCCACATTTCAATAGTGCTCTTCCCTGACAGCATCTGTTCCCATTTTATGTTACCCAGTTCTTGCCTAACAGAATTGCAATTACCCTTCCCCCAATTATAAACCTTACCCTGCTGTATGTACCTATCCTTTACCATGACGATTGTAAAATTAACAGAGTTATGATTGCTACCGCCAAAATGCTCTCCTACCAACCACTTGGCCCGGTTCATTGCCGGTTCATACTTAAAAGAAGTAAGTTTAGTAACAGTCACATATACTATTCCTGATTAGCCAAAGAAAGTGTCCTCATGCACAGAGATGAAAATGACTGGGGTGAGGGAGCAGTTAATCGAATAGCAGACAGCATAAAAGAGAGCTTCACTTCATTTTAAATGGTGCATTTAACTTCAAGTTTTCTTTATCAGTATGAGATAGTCAACAGGGAAACCACATCTATAGCTTCAAGTTCTGAACGAAAACAATGATAGATGGATTTAACAATTTATTTTGCCAAGCATTAAATTCCTTCTCAAGTTTTTAGAAGGTATCAACTTTCAAACTTGGTTCTGTACTGCAGATAATGTATTAAATTATTGACTAAATATATGAAATCAATGTCTTGTTTTAAACATACTTATGTTGCAACACTACATTTTGTCCCAAATTTATATCTGACTATAGGCATGGGAGCTTAGCCTTTTGCTAACCTACACAAGAAGTCCCTGGTAAAACAAATTATTACTGTTAGTAGATCAAGTCATTAGCTTTTTATACCTGGGGACAAGGATCTCATATGAAAAACCGATAGTTCTGTGAAGTTCTGTAAATACTTTTCAAACATGGGTTAGAGACAACCTGTGGTTGCCCAATGCTGGCTGTTGAAATCTTGGGAATTTTCCCTGTTGCAGTTTCAATGGGCACTTTATCATCATCTTCCCAATTGCTGATCAATCATCTATGTCTACAAGAAACGCTAATTCTTTCTGCCTATAAATATTCAGTGCTTTAGCTGGGTAATCTACAGTGCAATAAATAGGTGTTACAGATAAATTAGAAAAAGAGAAAAAACCGACATTAATCTTCCTTCCTAATTATCATCTTAAAGTCATAGAGCTGTTCAGAATGGAAACAGACCCTTCAGTCCAGATATCCTAAAGTTATCTAGTCCCATTTGCCAGCATTTGACCCATATCCTCTAAACCTTTCCTATTCATATTCCCATCCAGCTGCCTCTTAAATGTTGTAATTGTACTAGCCTCCATCACAGAAACGTTTTCTGCAAAATTCACATTAACACTTAGATGTGCTTTGGATCGGTTCAGAGGAAGTTCACTAGATTGATACCTGGAATGAGTGAGTTTTCTTATGAAGAAAGGATGGAAAGACTGGACTTGTTTCTGCTGGCGTTCAGAACAGTGAAGGGTGACTTGATTTAAGTACAGAAGTAGGGGGCAACATTCCCATTCTAAAAATTTATTTATTTTGACTCTTTTCAAGAAGTTTTCTGTTAACTAATTCTCATTCTACGTTTATATACATTACAATTTCATCTGCCTTAACCCTTTGTAACACCTCTTGTGTGGCCAAATATACTACATTCTTGGTTTCTTCCTTAACCACACTGAATTACACCTTAAACAATATCTAATAGATTTGTCAAAACCATCATAAATTTGTTGACCTGCGCTAATCATATTATGATTTTCAAGTTACTGTCCTTGAAGTAGGTTCTGGTATATTGTTCCCTGATTGATTCTTCTGAGAAATAAAGTTTCAATGCAAAGGATGAAGCTAACTAGGAAAGTTAAGCATGGTATCAAATTAAAAGAAAAAAGCATACATTTTGTGCAAATTAATGGTAGAATTTGATAAAATTTTTAAAATATGCAAAGGGCGAAAAATGAATCGTTAAAGGGATAATAAAAAAGCTTATGGAGATAAGTTAGGAAAAAATGCTAAAAGAAGAGCTTCTACAAGTACATTAAAAAAGGTGGTAAAATAAACAAGTCCTTCAAAGGTATACAATGACGAATGCCAGGAAAATGGCACATAACAAATATTTTACATGTCTTTATGGGTAGAAGACACTGAAAGCATCCCAAGTATCATTAAAAACCAGGTTGCAAAACAGCAAACAATTATTACTACTACAGAAACAGTACAAGGCAAACTTACGCAACTAAAGGCTAGCAGGTCCCCTGGACCTGACTGCCTTATCCTGGGGTCTTCAAAGAAGTGGCTGCGGAAATTGTGGATGCATTTGTTGTTTTCTTTGAAATTTTTCTAGATTCTGGAAAAATGCCACCAGTTTAGAAAACTGCAAACAATCCGATCCAAAAAAGGAGGAACAATAGGCCAGCTGGCCTAATATCTGTCATTACAACAAAAAGTTAAATTCCATTATTAATAATTCTCAACAAATACCCCTTCTTAAAATATTTCTTTAAATGTTTGCTACTGCTGATCTATCATCACTTAGATTTTCCGATTTAATTTCCTAATCTGCCTCAGCCAATTCATCACTCAGATTGCCATTGTGTGCCCAAGTGCTGGATCATGGTTCTGCTTGTCAAGATACTGCAGTGGTTTACTGCTGCTTGCTACAGGTTCTGACTGACCAGGAGACTTCACATTCTTACCCCAAGGCAATAGTAAATAGGAGGTATAAAAATCGAAAAAACTGCAGATGCTTTAAACCAGAAACAAAAACAGAAATTGCTAGAAAAGCTCAGCAAGTCTGGCAGCATCTATGGAGAGAAATCAGAGTTAGTGTTTCGGGTTGAGTGTATATATTTTGGGTCGATGTGGATACTCTCAGTACGTTGATTGCCAATCCTTATTTGCCCTTAAGAAGGTATTGAAGAGATACCTGCTTGAATTGCTGCAGTTCAGGTGGTATAGGTGCACATACAGTGCTGTTTAACAGAGGGTTCCGAACCTTTGACCCAATAATGGTGATGAAACGGTGATATACATTTCCAACACTGAATGATATGTCACTTAGTTATATTTGATGCTTGGGACAATGCTGGGTGATCTGTCCAGTATCATTTTTACTAGATTGTTCCATCATGGCTTGCTAAATCAATTTCAGTTAACAGTGATGCACCAAACTTGTGGGTCTAGAGTCAGATATCTAGGCTAGACTAGGTAAGTACAGCAGATTTCCTTCTGGATTTATTTAACTGAATTCCCCAGAAGCAGTGGTGGGTTTCAAACTCAGTCCCTAGCTATTAGCACAAGACCCTGGTCACTAGCTTAGTATATAAACATTTTGTTCTGTTCCACACAAATAAATGTCTTATGATGTACACTATACAGTTGTAACCTTCATAGATCAAACAATTGTCTTAAGTACTCTATATGATACTTAAACACAATTTTGCAGGTTTAGTATCTCAAACCTGACAATCCAAACACCAGAGGCACCCAAAAACCAGGCATTTTTATAAAATTGCTGTGCAATTTCAATTGCTACTAAACGAGTAAAATAATTTATCAAGACAATTCGGCTAGTTTCTGTATTGATGCAATAGTAAGCCAGATTAGTTAACGGTTTTGGAGGTCTTTTCTTCTATTAAAAGTTATCTTTGATCTCACTTAATCCAGTTTGACCCCATTTTGTGCATCTCCTATTAATCAACTGAGATTCTGGTTTAGCACAAAATCAGTCCCAGAGTTGTCAGTTTTGAGACATTGTACCTGGATGCTTTTGAGCTTCTTGAATGTTGTTAGAGTTGCAGTTGTAAACAGGCTCCATTCTTGAATCTTTTTGTAAGTTGATTTGTACACAAGTTGGAACACAATGCAGAACAATATAAAATAGCTGTTTGTAAGTGCAGGAAACGTTTGTATGTCAGATCTTTAAAATTTCACCCTGTACGGGATTGCATTGTAATACAAGCATGTCTAATTCAGACATATGTAAATCGGGTCCCTTTTTTTTAAACACAGAATCATCGAATTATCGGATGCAAGCGACCGTTCAACCCAATATGCTTGTGCCTTCTCTTTGGTAAAGTTATCCAATTAGCTCCCAGCTCTTCCTAATAGCGTTGTCATTTTTTTCTGTCAAGTAATTATCGATTTCCTTTTTGCTTGAACTGCTCTTTCATAATGTCAGAAGTATGGATGTTTGCTGATGATTTCACAATGTTCAGCTCCATTAGTGAGGACACTAAGATAATGAAGCAGACCATGTCCACATTCAGCAAGATCTGGGCAAAACTCAGGCCTGTGCAGGAAAGTGATACAGCATTTGAGCCATAAAAGCACCACACATGAAGAGGCCACCTCCTGCAAGATGGAGTCTAACCATTTCCACTTGACATTAAATGGTATCAAGATCACTCAATTCCGCCAGTATCAACATTCTGGGGGTTACCATCGAGCAGAAACCAACCTGGATCAGCCATATAAATACAGTGGAATTCTGCAGTGTGTAACTCACCTTCTGATTCCCAGATGCGTGTTCATCACCTACAAGTCGCACTGAGCAGGCCTGAGACAGAAACGTTAGCATGGAAATATGGTGGTGTGTTGAATGTCAGGCAATTGGAAGCTCAGTTTTATGGACACAGCATAGGTGTTCTGCAAAGCTGTCACCCAGTGCACATTTCATGTCCTCAACATAGGGGAGACCACAGTGTAAGTAGCAAATATGGTAGATTGGATTGAATAAAGTATAGGTAAATCATTACATCATCTAGGAAGTGTGCCTGGGCCTGGATAGTGAGGAGGGAAGTAGGTAAAGTGTCGTACCTTCTGCAATTACAATGACATTGAGACTTTTTCATCTAAACAAAAGCCTGGGGGATAACTGCATCCTGGTACATACATGATGGCAAGTCCTCAACCAGAGTCACCTAGCCTGGTTTTAACTTAAACAAATGCTTACAGGATAATTATTCCCTGCTACACACTCCACGGCAACACCTCAACCAACAGGAGTCTACCTGCCAAACAATCAGCACCTTTTCTAATTCAGTTTAAATTGCTGTTCCCTTTATATAATAAAAAGTTCTCTCTGCTATTCTGGATTGCACTGGGAGCATATTCCATAACACTGAACATATTTAGCACAGGGAGAAGCATAAGATGATAGAGAAGTTTAAAAAAAAGTGCTTCTATACCACTGCTAATGCTGCCTCCCTGGATCGATTAATATCAGTTAACAGTGGGATCTTTTCCTGGCAGGCCATACAATGTGCACTCATGAGCCCACTGTAAGAGGATCAACAGATTGCTGGTGTTTAATTTCTGTTTTATAGTATGAATTAGTCAGAGTATCAGCCAATGCTTCGCTTTTCATGTGGCTGACTGCTGCTTATTCATGGCAGCTGTTTACAAAGCCAAGCACAACAAGGGCAGCTGCTAATTGATGCCAAAAACCTTGCTGTCCTGGTCTAAGTCCTAGTGGCATCACTTGCACGAAGTGCAGATGGCCATGGAACTTAATACTTCTTTTGTGATAAAATCTGACATTTGCATTTGAGCATGAACCTGAAGCTTAGGCGCATATGCAACCAATTTTTTGTTAAGGGATCCTCTTGTGTTTGAAGTTTTTGCATATTTACCATCTGAAAAGATGCATAAGTTTTGCATTAAGTAAAGCAAAAATTAGTAATCTATATCTTCAATTGTACAACTAGTTTGTATTTGTTTGACATTACAGAAAAAGAGTATTACTGAAAGGAAAGACACATTTTAGGACTTTAAACAAGTGTATTGAGGGGAAGGGAACAACGACAGGAAGTTTAATGGTAAATAGAAAAGAAAGCAACAGGTTAACATTTATGCAGGAGAGTTTAATTACAAAGACTATAAAAGAAGTTAAGAGAAAGGAAAACTCAGGAGATATTATTAATGGAGATGTTAGAATTCAAAAAGAAGGTATAAAAACTGGCATAAAGACACTTTACCTGAATGCTCATAGCATTCAAAACTAGGTAGATGAGTTAACGGCACAAATTATCGCGTTTGAGTATGATTTAGTAGCCATTACAGAGACATGGTTGCAGGATGGTCACAACTGGGAATTACATATCCAGGGGTATCAGACCATCTGGAAGGACAGACAGGAAAGTAAGGGACATGGTGTAGCGCTGATACTTAAGGATGACATGAGGGCAGTAGTGAGAGATGAAACAGGTTCTATGGAGAATAAGGTTGAATCCATTTGGTGGAAATTAGAAATTCTAAGAAGAAAAGGTCATTGATAGGCGTAGTCTATAGGCCACCAAATAATAACATCACATTGGGGCAGGCAGTAACCAAAGAAATAAGTAATACCTGTAAAAATGATACAGCAATTATCATGGAGGATTTTAATCGACATGTCAACTGATCGAATCAGGTTGGTCAAGGCAGGCTTGAGGAGGAGTTCATTGAATGTATCTGCGACAGTTTTCTTGAACAGTGTGTAATAGAACTAACGAGGGAGGAAGCTATCCTAGATCTGGTCCTGCGTACTGAGACAGGAATAAATGATCACATAGTTAGGGATCCTCTTGGAAGGAGCGAACACAGTATGATTGAATTTAGAATACAGATGGACAGTGAGAAGATAAAATCCAATACCGGGGTCCTGTGCTTAAGCAAAAGCAACTACAATAACATGGGGCAGTTGGCTAAAGTAGACTGGAAACAAAGACTTTATAGTGGGACATGTGAGGAACAGTGGAGGACTTTCAAAGCAATTTTTCAAAGTTCACAGCAAAAGTATATACCAGTGAAAAGGAAGGACTTAGGAAAAGGGGTAATCAGCCATGGATGTCTAAGGAAATAAGGGAGGCCAACAAATTGAAAGATAAGGCATACAAAGTGGCAAGGGCCAGTGGGAAACCAGAAGATTGGGAAAACTTTAAACATCAACAGAAAGCCACAAAAAAGGCCACAAAGAAAATTAAGATAGATTATAAAGCTAAACTAGCTCAGAATATAAAGACAGATAGCAATATATATATATAAAACGAAAAAGAGTGGCTAAGGTAAAAATGGTCCTTCAGAAGATGAGAAAAGGGATTTAATAATGGGAAATGAGGGAATAGCCGCAATAAGTAAGGTACTGACCCAGGCAGCTGGTGCTGCAAAATAGAAATTCATAACACACAGTGTTCAATTTCATATGTAATTGTACAATTGGACAACATTTGCCACATAATCCTGAGTGTGCAAAGAATTATGCTGGCAACTAATTAAGGATTTCAGTTATAGATAACAAGGTATAGAGCTGGATGAACACAGCAGGCCGAGCACCATCAGAGGAGCAGGAAGGCTGACGTTTCGAGCCTAGACCCTTCTTCAGAAATGGGGGAGGGGAAGGGGGTTCTGAAATAAATAGGGAGAGAGGGGGAGGCAGATAGAAGATGGATAGAGGAGAAGATAGGTGGAGCGGAGACAGACAGGTCAAAGAGGCAGGGATGGAGCCAGTAAAGGTGAGTGTAGGTGGGGAGTTAGGAAGGGGATAGGTCAGTCCAGGGAGGACAGACAGGTCAAGGGGGCGGAATGAAGCTAGTAGGTAGGAAATGGGGATGGGGCTTGAGGTGGGAGGAGGGGATAGGTGGGAGGAAGGACAGGTTAGGGAGGCAGGGACGAGCTGGGCTGGTTTTGGGATGCGGTAGGGGGAGGGGAGATTTTGAAGCTTGTGAAGTCCACATTGATACCACTGGGCTGCAGGGTTCCCAAGCGAAATATGAGGTGCTGTTCCTGCAACCTTCTGGTGGCATCATTGTGGCACTGCAGGAGGCCCAGGATGGACATGTCGTCTGAGGAATGGGAGGGGGAGTTGAAATGGTTCACGACTGGGAGGTGCAGTTGTTTAGTGCGAACCTGATTTCAGTCAGGTTTGTAGTGTGACACATGTGTATGCAATGGAAGCTACATATATTAACACACAGAGTCCTGTTCTTTGCAGACAAAAAGAACATGTGCACGCATTGCGCCTGTTTCAACACAAGAAAATGGGTGACTGCCATTGTCTTGATTCTTTCTCAGGGCAATGCATCGACACATCAGAATCATCTCACCTTTGTTTCAAATTTAAACAAAGCTTGGCAGTTAACTGTCAGTTATCATTAACTAGCATATACTCCATGGCAACATCTCTACAAACCAAAGTCTACCTGCCAACCAATCAGCACTTTTCTCTCATGTGGTACAAATTCTGTCTTCCCTTTTGGTACTTCTTACAAATTGTTCTGATGAGTGCAAGAATGAAACCTTCAACAGAATGTATCTTTTTACAGTTATATTCAATTTTGTATATGGAAAATAGTCAGTATTTGTTGCAGGAATCCCTTTCAAATAGCTTCCTCCATTAAGTATTCTTATGCTTCTTTATTGTCATTTTCTGGAAATATTCTAAACCAGTAACATCATGATCACTGTTCTCCACATGTATCACTTGCCTCACTTTATTTCAAGAACTTGATCCAGCATTGCTTTCTTCTTCAAAGTAGAAAAATACTGATCCAGAATGTTCTCTGAAACCAACAAAAGCAAAATATTGCAGATAATGGAAATCTGAAATAAAACAGAAATAAAATGCTGGAAATACTGAGTAAGTCAGGTAGTTGGACAGAAACAGAGTTTCAGGTCAATGACCTTTTGGTGAAAAATGTTACATAACAAAAGACAGGTCTAAAGGAGATGTAAATAACTACAGCAAAATCATTACAACATCTGTTGTTTGAAAATTTGGAACGGTAGGTTATCTGATATTGTTAAACTCAACGTTGAAGCTGGAAAACTATTCAGTGCATAATCAAAAGATTAGGTGCTGTTCCTTGAGCTTCCATTGAGTTTCATTCAAATGGTGTGGGAAGGCAAGGTCATGAGAACGAGTGGGATTGACTCAGACAATTAAAATGGCAAGTGACCGGAAACTAAGGGTCATGCAAACAGAATAAAGGTATTCAGCAAAACAATTACCCAATCTGCACTGGTCACCCCAGTTAAACAGTCAACCATATCACGAGAAGTAAAGGGAACAATCCTTTCAAAAATGCTGAAATGTGGGAAGAGCTGTGTTTGGCTGAGGTGGAAATGGCAGAATATGATCTAATGCATCTCTGGGATTCTCTAACCCAGCAGTGTGTCAATGCTCTATCATTGAATACATTCAAGGCTAGGATAGACAGATTTTCAGTCTCTTAGTACATCAAGGGTATGGGGATAGGCAGGAAAGTGGAGCTGAACCCCAAAGTCAGTCATGATTGTATCAACCATGGTGGAGAAGAATCACTATTTAAGTGATCAGGAAGATAGGTTGGAAGTAATGGCTTATAAGGTTGTATCATTAGAACATATGTGACAGAGGTAAAAAAAACTAGGAAAACAAAATACAGTTTGCATAGCAAGTGGGTGGGAAGAAATAAGGAAATGTAATTAAGGTAGCCTTGGGAGTTGTTGCAGGACTAAGAGATTGGAAACTGGGGGATGGGGTAGATGAGTAGTTGACTCTTAACTGCTCTCTGGGCAATTAGGGATGGGTAATAAATGCTGCCTGGTCAGCAATGCCCTCATCCCGTGAATGAATAAAGAAAAAGAATAAAAGAGAACAGCACCCATGGAGGTGGGATGTGTGATGCTGCAAAAAGATGGCTTAATGTTCAGTGGTAGAGTCATGTGCAGGGCTTCTTGTACACACCAGGAAATCCTATCCTCTCTGTCCCATTACAATACCAGTCTCAAAAACCCTTGTATTTATATAAAATCATAAAATGCTTACATCCTGTCACGTCCATGCAGGCTCTCTGTAAGATCAACTCAATCAGTCTCACTCACTGCCCTTTTCCAGTAGGCCTGATATTTTTTTCCCTCTCTTCAGGTACTTATCCAATTCCCATTCGAACATCTCAACTGAATTTGCCTCAATCACGCTCTCAAGTAGTGCATTACAAATCCTAACCACACTCTCATTTTGAGATAACAAGGTGTAGAGCTGGATGAACACAGCAGGCCAAGCAGCATC